CTTCCTGCCGCCTTCGCCTTCTCTCTGACTGGCACGTGCTGCTCACCATGTCCCCCGGCTGCGTCTTCTCCTCCCAGAACCTCAGTAAGAAACGTGTCTTTCTCCAGGGCCCGGGACACACGTGCGTTCTCATGGTCACCCTCTGACGTTTCATCTTCTTTATTCCGTTCTGTAAAAATACGGCAGCCTGGGTGTGGCCTCCGGGTGGGTTTTACGAGTGCTGAGAAAGCCCCAGGGAGGGTGAGAAACAGCCGGATTCGAGGCCGACTTCCGGGTGGGCTGGTACCTCCAAAGGCCCTGCACTCGGCCGCCGCCCCAGCCGCCTCTCCTGGCCCACCTTGTCCGGCCACCCTGACCAGGGGCTTCCTTTCGGTCCTGCACCTAGCGGAGCTCTCTGTCCCAGCACCCCCTGCCCTGCACCCACTCCAGGCCCGGAACTCACCCCAGGCCCCGCACCCACCCCTGGGCCCACAGGCTCTGGTCACCACACATACAGTTCCAGCTCCAACATCTTGAATTCTCCATTTCTACTTTATTTTTCCCCATGGCTCCAGCGTGTGGTGCCTTTGACCGGGTCATCTCGTCCCTCTGCTCACCGTGAGGGCCGGGCTCCATCCCTGGGCTCTGGGCCGTGAGCTCTCAGCACCCAGGCCCTGCAGGGCTCCTGGCAGCTGCTCAAGAGCCGACAGCCCTGAGTCTGGCCACATGGCGAGGCCCCACAGCTCGGCCACCTCGCCGGACCCTCCGTGGCTCCCTCTGGCCTGCATGGGGTGGTCCACACGGCGCGGCTGCCTGCCCAAAGACGCCGTGACCCAGGGGGTGGGCACTTGCCCTGTGACGATTGCAGGACGCCCCCCTGGCCGGCAGGGCACTGGACTGTCTGCTCATCCCTTTCAAAATCCACCTGGACATGTGAGGACCTTTTTCATCCGGGTGGATTCTACACTGAGTTTGCCACCTTCCTCCAATGCCCTCGCCGGCTGCCGTGGGCCGGGGGGGCCGCGCCTGTGTGTGACGCCGCTTCCCTCTCTGAGTCCTCCCTGGCAGCCCTCCGGCCGCTGCTGGAGACGTGGGCATTTGCCACGCAGCTTCAACGCAGCTGGAGACGTGGTATTTGTGGTTTTCCGGTGGGGTTCGAGGGTGGAAGAACGGCCCTGACGTGGGGCAGCTCCGGCCGGGTCTCTGCAGGGCTGTCCCGTCGGCGCCCATGGGTTCAGTCAGGTTCTCCACAGAGGACGTCATCTCTCCTGCAGTCTTTTGTCCCCATGAGGCTGTCCCTGGGCCAATCGCATTCCAGGTCTCGCCCAGGGACATTCGAGCACACAGTCCGTGCCCATCCTGGCTGCAGGCACACGTGGGGGTGGACGTGTGTCCAGCCCTGGCAGGAGCTGTGCCCAGGGTGAGTGTCCAGCCCCGGGAAGCTGCCCTGCTCTCCCCCACTGGCCCGGCGTCCTCAAAACCATCCTCAGGTCCCTCTGCCCCCAGAGCTTCAGCCGGCATCCCTGCTGCGAAGTGGTGGCATGTCCGTGCCCGGGCCAGGCAGGTGTCCTGGATCTCCAGTTGCTCTGAGAAGTCACCCGGCTGCCTGGGAGCTCAGAGCTGCTCCAGCGCACACCCCAGGATGTGGCAGACCGCGGGACCCGGCTCCCAGCCCTAGTTCAGCCCCAGCTGCCTCCTCCCGTGTGTCAGGGCCTGGGTGGGGCTTCTGGGTCCCCAGGAACCCTGGGTGCAGCCACAGTGGGAGAGCAGGGAGAGGGATAAGAAACCCGGAGACCGCAGCTCAGCCTCCACGGCCACAGACCCCCGAGGGCACAGCCCGCCCTCTATGGTCACAGACCCCCGAGGGCACAGCCCGCCCTCTATGGTCACAGACCCCCGAGGGTATAGCCCGCCCTCCATGGCCACAGATCCCTGAGGGCACAGCCTGCCCTCCACGGCCACAGATACCCAAGCCCTGTGTCTCTGTCTGTCTTGCTCCCCATGGCTGGGAGCCTCCCAGGCCCCCTCATCTGGGCAGAAACAGGCCCCTGAGCACATGGCAGGACACCCCTTCTCCGTCAGCATGGGGAAGTTTTGGCTTCTGGAGGCCGGGCCCGGAATCATGAGCCTCCAGCTTCTGCCAAGGCCAGACTCCAGGCAACCCCCTGGCACAGGAGCATGGGGGTTGGGCAGGAGCCACCCAGGCCAGCCCTGGCCTCTTCCCGCTCATGCCCACGAGGAGTAGGGAGCAGGGGCAGGGTGGCCGCAGACCCGGTGTTCGGGGCCACACCCAGCGCTGTGGCTCTTTCCGGAATGCTGCCTTGCATAACCAGGTGAGGGGCTGTGGTGACCCGGGTGGGGGCAGGGACACGGCTGCTCCCTCCCAGGGCTGCTATCTGGTTACGTTCCAGGAGGCCACGGGCCCAGCTCACCCCGGGGGGTGGAGGATTAGTCAGCAGCACCCACCCCACCCTGAACGGAAGAGGCGGATTTCCAGGATACCTGATCCACCCCGGGTGAGCACAGAGGTGCAGGTTAGGGTGCCCTTGGCTGTGAGGTCAGGTGCCAGCCGAGCGCTGGAGCAAGAGGCTCTCATGGTCGCCCACCCCACCCACCTCTGCCTCTCAGAGTAGGGTGGGCGGCTGTGCTTCCCTCCCGGCTGCCAAGGGGACACAGGCCGAAGCTGGGGAGCCCCCCAGCCCCACCCGCTCACCCCAGGAGTCAGGCTCTGAGGCCAGCCCCGCTGCCCAGGTGTCTGTGAGCCCACGGCTGGGCCAGGGCGGGCGGGCAGCTGGGGAACTGGAGCCTGGGAGTACCCCAGCCCCGAACTGTCGCCCCAGCCCCTAGACCTGTCAGAGCCACCCCCAGACGTGAGCCAGGGCTGGAGCCACGAGGCCACCTGGCTTTGGGTCAAAAACCCCGGTGCGGGGACGGGGCTGGCCTTGAGGGGCGTGGGCTGAGACCTGTCTCCGCGGTGCCTGAGCCTGCCAGCGCCGGGCTGACTGTGCTGCCACCTTGTGGCGGCTGCACCCCGGAGAATGGAAGGTCGGTTCCCCAGACCCCACCTGACGGGCGGCGCCTGAAACGGAAGCGGTGTGGGGTTGGAGCCGTGGGCGCAGCCGAAGTCTGGGAGCGCTGGGGAAAGCCCTCACCCGAGCAGGAACACGAGGCCCCGACGTCCACCTTGAGAACCTCCCGTCAGCTCCCTGGCCACTCCACAGCACACCAGGGCGCACCGGTCCCTGAGGCCTTCTCTGGCCCAGAGGGGCACTGGGGCCACCTGAGGCCATGGGAGCCCCAGACAGGACCTTGAGCCCCAGAAAGTCCCCAGGTAGCCGGTGCCCGCCACATCACGGCCACATCCCTGCCTCCCATCTGGGCACCGCTTCCCACCTGCCTGCCCCACCGTCGGGCGTCAGGGGCTCCAGACACTCCCAGGCCTTCCTGTGTGGGCTGCAGGCCTGGCCAGGGCCAACCGCAGCCCTCCGTGTCCTTCCCCCACTCTGCGCTGGCCCCATCTGGGCAGTGGGCTCCCCAGCCCCGCCTGGCTCAGCCTGGGCTCCTCCAGATCCCTCTGCCCGCTCCTGGGATGCGGGGCCAGTGCTGCCCATTCTCCTGGCACTGCTGTGCGGCCGAGGCAGGGCCCAGCCTAAGGCCAGTGTGTCCTGGGGCACTGCGGACTCCCTGGAGCCCTCCAAGAAGCGTGCGCTGGGCATCAGGAGCATGGAGGCTCCGGGAAGGGGGGTGGTCAGACAGGACGAAGAGAGACGAGCTTCCAGGGCCCCGCCCAGCCTCTGCGGCACGACCTGCACCCTCCGTGGGGTTGCCGACCGCCCGAGTGCCTGCAGCCGCTCTCAGGAGTGTGCACGCCCCAAGCTCGGCCCGGGAACGCGGCATCTAGGAGCTGCGCAGAGATGGAGCCCCCCACCCAGGACGCCGCTTCACCAGGGGCAGCCATCCCGGGTCAGAGGCCCTCACTTGGGCTGTGAGGAGCCCTGGATGCCCGGGCTGCCCCCATTCCCCCCGACTCCCTCCCTCACGCATTCATCCACTCAATCCTTCACTCACTCATTCACTCAGTCACTCACTCACTCATTCACTCATTCATTCTTTCACTTATTTACTCACTCATTCACTCCACTCACTCATTCACTCACTCCTTCACTCATTCACTCACTCACTCCTTCACTCCTTCACTCCCTCATCCACTCATTCGCTCACTCACTCATTCACTCATTCATTCTTCACTCACTCATTCACTTACTCCTTAACTCAGTCACTCATTCACTTACTCACTCATTCACTTACTCATTCACTCACTCCACTCATTCCTTCAGTCACTCCTTCACTCACTCACTCATTCTCTCGTTCATTCTTTTACTTATTCACTCACTCATCTGCTCATTCATTCTTTCACTCACTCCTTAGTCACTCATTCACTCACTCCTTCACTCACTCATTCATTCCTTCACTCACTCATTCACTCACCCACTCACTCATTCACTCACTCCTTCACTCACCCACTCATTCATTAACTCACTTATTCACTCATTAATTCACTCTCACATTCATTCTTTCACGCATTCACTCATTCACTCACAGTTATTCGCTTATTCATTTGCTCACATTCACTCATTCACTCGCTCATTCAATCACTCATTCACTCATTCACTCACTCACTTATTTACTGACTGATTTATTCACTCATTCATTCTCTCACATTCTCACTCACTCTGTTTTCTGACCAGATGCTTCCTGGGCTCTAGACTGCAGCCAGGTCCTCAGTGACCTGTGCAGGATGGGGGTCTCCTTTTGGGGCAGATGCAAGCTCCGGCCTCTCCTCTCCAAGCAGATGGACACTACCCCACTGAGCCCACAGAGGCAACAGCTCCCCCAGACAGTCCTTGTTGGCTGCCCAGTGCTGCGTGGCTCGCCAGAGGTGTGCACCCCCAGGGCCTGGGTCTGCCCCCGCCCTGTTCCTGGGTTTTATGAACAAGCTCAAAAAATGCACAGTTCACAAATTGCAAAATGCTGGAGTGTATTTATGCAGCCGACTGGCCATGTCCTGAGGAGGGGTGCAGGCCAAGGGCTGAGGTAGGAGTGAGGCTCTTCCTCCTGCAGCCAGCAGGCAGCTGACCACCATGTCCAAGCATCATTCCCGATGCCCTCGGGTGATGCTCAAGTCCTGAGAACAGCGGGCTGGACGCGTGGCCAGAGGCATCCACCGGCCCTGGGCTGGTCCTGAGCAGTGGCTGCAGGTGGGAAGGGGCCCCTCCGCCAGCCAGTGGTGACCGCAGCCCACACCCTCCATGAGAGCAGGCGTGGACAGTGCTTCCGAAGCTGCAGCCGCCTGGAGGAGGGCACGGGTTCTACTGGCTTTGGAAGTCGAGCTGGGTGGACACTCAGGCGGTTCTTCTCGGGGGTCGGGAGGACGGCGGTACCGGTCAGTTGACGGAGGACGCCGGGGCCCCTCTCTCCCGGCTCCCGCTCTCCGCCTCCTGGCTCTGCTCGGGTTCCACCTCCTCCGAGTGCTGGGTGTCGCCCGGCGCAGGGCACCGCTGGCCCGTGCAGCCGCACTCTTCCACCTCCGTGTAGCGGAAGACCCGGCGGGAGCCGTCAGCGCAGTGCAGGGTCACGTTCCTCGGCGAGGTCCGCAGCTCCCGGCAGCACCGGCACCGATGCTCCAGCACGTTGGCCTGGAGCGAGTACCTGCGGGCAGGGGCTGCTCAACACCAGCTGCCGCGCCCGGGTCCCCAGCCACCCGCCTCGAGCCGCCCCGTGCTGCGCTTCCTCTGGGTGGCCTTGTCCCGGTTGTTCCCAGCTCCTGGAGGCTGCTGCGGTGTTTGACAACGGCTCCCGTTTGCCAGTCCCCTGGGCGCCAAAACTCCCACCAGGGCCAACTCCAGCTCCCGCTGACGGCAGGGAGGGGGACTAGGGCGCTGGGGCAGGTTCCCGGCGGAGCTCCGCGAGCAGAGCAGGCGGTTCCGACACAGGCTCTGGGCTGCAGCCGCCCCAGCCCCGCCCCGGCCACCTCAGAGCCCCTTGCCCGCCTCACCCCCAGCGCCCTCCGCCCGGCCCCTCCCGGTCCTGCCCCCCACCTGCCCTGGGACTCCGACCGCACCCCATGGCCAGTGGCATCTCCCCACCCTCGGCCCAGGCACGTACATGGAGGAGCTGTCCCCGCAGTTGCCCCGGCAGTAGGCCAGGCGCACGGGCCCTTCGGATCGGCAGCCCTGCTGCCGGATGGTCTGGCTCCGATAATGCACGGCACAGGTGGACTCTGGGGAGACGCGGGGTTTAGGACCAGCCCCGCCACTCCTGAGCCTCCGGGGGTGAGGCCCACCCCACCCAGCAGGCTCGGCACTCACGGTTCTGGGGCAGGGGCGGCGGGCAGAAGAGGCAGCAGGCGTCCTCACTCATTCGGGCCTCGTCCTGTGCCAACAGAGGGGCAGCCTCAGTGCCAAGGCGCTTGGCGGCCTCCACCCCGCAGAAGTGGGGGATGGGCACATGGGGTCAGGTTCGGGAGTGGACAGCCCATGCAAGAGGGGTGTCTCTGCTAGCGCTGCAGGAAGGACTACAGTCCTCCAACTCCATCTGGGGGTGAAGCCACCTCGGCTGGGCGGGGGCCCTGGGCCTCACCAGAGAACAGCTGAGTGGGGGGCATGCCTTCTTCGTGGTGACCACCACAAGCCCGTCCCGGTGCTTCTCACACTCGTGGGTCACACAGTGGTTCCCAGGGTCTGACCAGGTCTCGCCGGGCTGGAGGGAGGCCAGGCCCTGGGGTGAGTGACCCTCCCTCCACCTGTCCCTCTGTCTGCACCCCAGTTTCTGCCAGGTGCATGCCAGCAGGGACAGGTCCCCAAATGCCCTCGTGCTCTCAGACCCTGCCCTTCCTCCTGGTGGCAGCTGATACTCACGTAGAAGAGGTGGGTGAGGCTCTCGCTGGTGTTGGTGACACAGGCGACCTGAACGCAGGTGCCACAGCACTGCCCATGCTGCTCCCGATACTCGAAGCCCTGCAGGAGGGATGGACATGTGGCCGGAGTCCAGGGGACAGCCACGCCCAGGCGGCTAGGGCAGGGTGAGGGCAGGGCAGGTGGGGGCAGGGCAGGGGCCAGGGCGGGTGGGGGCAGGGCGGATGGGGGCAGGATGGTGGGCACTCACCACGGGGCAGTGTGTGTTGCAGATCTGGGTCTCACAACTGACTACAAACGACTCGGACAGGGGGCCGCCGGGCAGCTCACACCTGCAGGTTTCGCACAGGCTCGAGGAGACCACAGCGCCGGGCTGGGGACAGCCAGGGCAGCAGACGTCAATCAGGGTGGGCCCTGGGGCAGACCCGTCCCTTCCTCCCTACTGGCCTGCTGCCCCCACCTTCCCAGACATCCCCCTCCAGGCCAATTTCTGCCAGGACGACCTGCCCCCTGGGATGAATCCTGATGGCAGGTCCTGGTGCAGAGGTCACTGCCCAGGGTCCCCATCCCCAGGGCAGAGTCCCACGCTGCACCCCCGTGGGTAGGCTGGCTAGCAAGGCCACATGCTCTACAGGGCCACAGGACACAGAGCCACGGGATCCAGGCCTGGCTGCACTGAGGTGCCAGGAGAGGCCAGCCCCTCAGAGCCTGGTGGGCCAGGGTGTAGACGTCCACACTTCCCAGCCCTGGGGTTGCCTCCGGCCTCAGCCACACTTGATTGTGGGCTGTGTCCTGAGAGATTCCGGTCCCTGGTCCCGCTGGGTCAGCAGGCTCTCAGTTCGCCCCCCGCTGCTCCCAAGTCTACCTGGGCCCAGGATCGACAGGAAGCTGCTTCCCTGTGGGGGTCTGTGGGGGTCTGTGGCGGCTGCTGGGGCCTGTGGGGGCGGCTGCGGGGATCTGTGGGGTCTGAGCTCTGATGCTCTTACCTGGTACAGGGTCCCGTTGATGCTGCACACTGTCCAGCCTGCCCAGGAGAAGACAGGCAGCTGCAGCCCCCGCCAGAAACCCAGCCCGCCCTCGCCCCGCCCTCCCCTCACACTCCCCTTGCCCTCAGCATCCCCCTCCTGGGCGCCCATTGCTGGGCTCACCGCTGTGGTTTCTCAAGCCTCAGCCCTGTGGAAGGCTCAGCCCAGAGCCACAGACTGGCCGTGGACAAGCCGCATCTGGCATCTGGCTCCACTCCCCAAAACCCCGGGTAGGGTCCCCAGCCCACGGCCCCCAGACCAGTCCCAGTCCTGGCCACTCACTGCAGTTTTGGACCGGGCAGCAGGCTCCCTCCTCGTGGGTCAGGATCTCGCGGGCGCCCTCGGGACAGCCCACGGGCACGGGGCAGTGGCTGGAGTTGCAGGCTGTGGGGCGGGAGGGAGGCAGTGAGGAGTCCGTCCCCACCTCCACCCAAGGGCGACCCCAGGGGTCTCCAGGACTGCGGACTGCCCAGACGGCCTGCTGGGGGGTCTCCAGGTGAGGCTGCGGCAGGAGGGGAGGAGGGGACGCCCTCTCGGGCACTGCCCCCAGGTGCACGGTCCACGGCAGCAGCAAAGGGCTGGCCGGGTGGGCTCCCATTCCCCCTCCACGCCATGCGCCCACCCAGCGAAGGACTTACCGCAGCTGTACTGGGGGCAGCACTGGCTGGCCTGCGGGGCCGAGGGCACAGGCACAAAGCCGGGCAGGGGGCAGGCAGGGGGTGGCGGGCAGGGCTTGGGCCGGCAGGTCAGCGTCCAGGTGGCTGCCTCGCACGTGCACTCCTGGCAGTCCATGCTGATGGTGTGGCCCACCTGCCAGGGAGAGGCTGGAGGTCCGGCTCCCGCAGCAGCCCCACCCCGGGTGCAGCAGCCAGGCGGGCTTATGCAGGGCGGGGGCGGCCCCATGAGGAGGCTGTGCAGCCTGTGGCCGAGGACCCCACGGGAGCGGGGCTTCAAAAGTGCAGGGGGCGGCCCAAGGGCAGGCACGAAGCTCTGCAAGGCGAGCCGGCTGTGGGGCGACCGGCCCGTATCCCCCACCTCACGCCTCCAAAGCCTCAGCTGGGCAAAAGGGTGTCCCAAACAAGGGAAGGGCACTGCCAGCCTCAGGGCCGGCGCCCACAGCAGCACCAGGGCAGGGGCCCTGCCCGGTCCATGCACAGGGCCGGCGCCTGGGAGGGAGCTCCCAAGTCTTTCAGGAAGCCCAGCTCCTCCCACGGCCCTTGCTCTGGGCCTGTCTCAGAGTGGACACCTGACCCCTGAGCCTCATCTGACTATTTCCGAGGCTGGTGTTTCACGAGCCTCCCTCCTCAAGCCCTTGGATCCCAGGGCGCTCTCGGGCCACGCCGGCCACTCACCTCCACCGGCTCTCCGTGGGGCCCCAGACACCCTGGCAGGAGAGAGAGCTGAGGTCACTGGGGGGCAGCCGCCCAACAGGGGTGAGGGGCAGGGTCCCGTGTCGGGCTGGGGCAGACCCCAGGGCCTGGCCAACAGTCGCAGGCCCCGTCCTGCCACACCACCCAGCCCGGGCAGGGGGCACGTACGGGGGCAGCCTGTGGGCACGCAGACTTGGGCACTGGTGCTGAAGAGGATCATGCCCTCCGGGCAGAAGCAGCCTTCAGTGATGGGGCCGGCCTCCTGCAGAGCTCTGTGGAGAGTGAGCGGGGGGTTGGTGGGGGGGCCTCCTCTTTCCCTCCAGGTGGGAAGGGCCCCAGCCTGGGAGCTGGAGAGGTGGGGGGCTGTGTGGCTCCGTGCAGGGCCAGAAGGGAGGGCACCTACCCAAGGCCAGCAGTGTCGTTCCCATAGCAGTAGGAGGGGCTGGTCGGGCCGCAGGGCAGGTACACAGTGTCGGCCGGGCAGGTGAACGCTGCAGGGAAGGGAAGCCACGCCTGAGAGGGCGGGAGGGCACCCACCCAGAGCCACACGGGCCGCTGGGCACTGGCACCTGCTCTGGGGCTGCTGGCAGCCACCCACGAGGCCCGGCCTGGCCACAGCCACCCACACCCAGCGCCCCACCGCGGCTCCCCAGTGTGGACGCCCTCCTTCCTCTCTGGGGAACTGGGTGCACTCTACCCTGGGGCCGCCCCTCGTCTTCCGGGTCCCACCCTCTCGGCCCGAGCCCACCCTGAAGTTGTGCCTGGTGTGCCGGTGCCCCTCACAAGCGACAGGCCCTGAGGAGGCAGCCTCACTCACGGCACGTGTGGTTGGTGTGGCCTCTCCAGTCGACACAGACGCCCTGGGACGCGCAGAGCGCCGCGTACAGCTCCAGGCTGGAGCACACCACGTCCTGGTCGGTCATGTGGCACTGGTCGAAGGCACAGCCCTCGTAGAAGGGCAGAGGGGGGACCACAGTGTGGCACGGCTCGAAGACCCTGTGGGGGAATGGGTGGGGTGCTGGGTGCGGCCTCTCTGGCCACCCACCCGCTCCACGTCAGGTCCCAGGCTTCGGGACAGACCCCAGGCAAGGCGAGCCCCCGGCAGTGGCTGCTGTGCAGCCCCCCAAACACCCTCGCCCTGACAGGTTCCTTCCGCACATTCTGCACGCCTGGGGGCTGGGGTCGGGGTCCAGATGCTATCACCCATTTCTTTCTGCAAGTTCTTCTTCTTGGGCCTCCCCCTCACCCCAAAAACCTGGGAGCTGCCTGAGGGGCAGTGACCAATGGCGCCGTCCATGCGCCTGAGCCAGCAGAGAGCCTCAGAGACTGCCTGGCCAGCCCTGGCCACCCCTTGGCAGCATTCCAGCCACGACCATCTCTGCCCGCCACCCTCCCCTCCCCGGCACCTCCTCAGCACCCGCCCCTCCTCTGCCTGCCACACCAGCAGCTCCGAAGCCCCCTGAAAACCGCAGCTCGTGGAAGGGTGGGGCCAGGGGCTGTCGCGCTGACCCTCCCTCCCTTGCACCTGAGTCTCACTTGCTCAGAATGAGCTGGCAGATGGGTGCCGGAGGGCACGGAGCAGGTGGGGTGGTGGGCCTGAACGTGGTGGGTCCGGCGGTGGTGAGCCCGACGGGGGTGGGTGCGGGGCGGGGACTGTGGCAGGCCGGCTGGCCGGGGTCGCTCACGTTCCAGAGGCCGGACATCTCCGAGCAGGAAGCGACCACTCGTCCTCCTGGCACGCGGCACTCGTCCTTACGGTCGTTGGTACACGTGCCTGGGCAGGCATGGCGGGGGTCAGGCTGCTGGACAGCGGAGGCGGCAGACCCAGCCCTGTGGGGCTCAGCACCCGCAGCTGGGGGACCCGACCCTGGTGTCTCAGGGTCACCCTTAGGTGGACTGTAGCGGGGCCTGCCTGTGCCTCACTGACCCCCGAGGACAGCCCTGGGGCAGTCTCCGTGGTACCGTCGAGCGGTGGGCACCGGCAGGTGTGAGCCTCAACCCGCACCAGGCAGAGCAGCCGGAAAGCAGAGACGCCGGCACGCCGGCACGAAGCAGCCTCGCCCCGCCCGCCCTCGCCCCACGAACGCCGACAGTGCCCCGGAGCCCCGCAGCCTCACCGCACTGGCCCTCGGTGTTGTTGGCAAACGTGCTGAAGGGCACCTCCACGGAGAAGATGACGCCGGAGAACATGATCCGCACGCCCAGCTCCGGGATGGCCGCGTACATCTTGATGCCCACGCGGGAGACCACGATGCCGTCTTTCTGGAAGCCGGGGCTGACCACCTTGTTGTTGAAGATGATCTGAACGCATGGCGCCATTGACAGGAAGACAGAAGGGGGGTGGGTGGGGGGTCAGCCACGGCGGCTCAGGCTCGTGCGGGCAAAGCCCTGCCCCCCTGGCCCTCTGGGCACACCAGACGCCCCCACCCCCTCCCGGCACACCGGGCGCCCCCCCTGCACACCCGGCGCCCCCACCTCGTTGGTCATCACCCCGCGGACTGGCCTGCGGGTCAGCACCACGCGGTCCTGCCGGTACTCGAGGATGATGGACCTCGGGCAGGAGAGCCCGTCCTCCGCGTTGCAGAAATAGTTGTCGATGAGGACGCGGAAGTGGCCGAACACGGGCACGATCTGCTGCACCAGCACGTAGGTGCAGTTGTCCAGGAAGGTGTAGTAGGTGCCGTCGAAGGTGACGTAGTGCGGGTCACCCCAGCCGCTGCACACACCTGCGTGGCCAGGGCGGTGTGACGGGCAGCTCGGGTGGCTGCACCACAGCCCCGGGGCTCTCTCTCTCCCACAGGCCACGTCCGTCCTGCCCCCCACCCGCTCGCCTCGCAGGGCGCACGAGACCCTCCGCATCATCGGAACACGGCACCTGCGCGGATCCATCTGCCGGGAGCTTGACAAGGCCCCAGCCCGGCAGAGACAGACCGTCCGCCTTCCCCGGCCCGGCTGCTCGGGACCCACGGGGCTCCACTCAGCACCCCGAAGCAGGAGGCTCGGCCCCACACAGCCCGGCCTGGATGCTGGAAAGTCCTTCCTGCTGTCCAACCCAGTTCCTTTCTGCTTCAGCCCAGCCCCCTCCTCTGCCCCACCCACTTCCGCCTTCGGGGAGAGGCCTGCCCCGCTGCCCCGCTCCGCCTGCCCTGCACTCACACTGGCACTGGTAGTGCTGGCAGCAGCCGTCCTGCTCAGCCACCTTCAGGGCCGGGTAGCCGTTGGCACAGGTGGGTTTCTCCACCCTCGGGCACGTGCGCGGGCGCAGAGAGATGACGTTGTGGCCCTCGCAGGTGGCCTCAGAGCAGCCGGGCATGGGCCAGGTCTCCCCTTTCTACAGAAGCACAGAGCTGTAGGCTCCAGCCTGTCCCGGTCTCCAGGGCAGCCCTCGACTCTCAGGGTCACAGTCCTGAGAGTCCGGTGTGGGGACAGGGGAGGGTGGCTGCTCCCCAGTCTCCTTCCCGCTCCACCCTCACCACCCACCCCGGACACTGAGCTGGCCGGGATCGGGGCCTCTGGTGTGAGAGTTGCCCCCAGCCCCACTGGCCCTGCCACACGCCCTGGCCGTGCGGCCGGGACCTCAGCGTCCTCTAGCTGCTCTGGCCTTGGCTGTCCTCAGCACAGCCTCAGCCTCAAGCCCCACAAGCCCAGCGTCTGCAAAACACGTGCCTGGGAAGTCCAGGGGGATCAGAGACCCCGGGCTACAGCAGGGCCCTCTCCCAATGACCAGGCAGCTTCACTGGGGCCAGCGACCTTCTCAAGAACCTGCAGCTGAAGTCTAATTGCAAAGACACTCAGGGTCCCTGCAGTGGCCTTGAGCCTTCAGAAGGGAAGCGGGGGATTACCTTTCTGGGGGGCACTGCATTTGGGCATCCCAGCTCGGTGACGAACTCAGAGGTGGCTGTGGAAGGAGACGTGGCTGGGGCAGGAGGCAGCGTGGTGGACGGGCAGTCACTGTCGACCTCTCTGACCACTTGGCAGTCCCGGCTGCACAGGGCATAGTAGCAGTGGCCGGCGAGGTCTCTGTGGCGGTATATGGTGGACCCTGCAGGAGGAGGGCACGTGGCAGGCTTTAGCGGAGCCCTGCTCAGAGAAGACGCGAAAACCCCTCAGTGAGCCCGAGGGGCTCTTCCTACCCCCTGGGTAATGGGGAAAAGCTTCAGAGAACGCACACAGCCACTCTGCGACAGTTAGCCTGTGCCACAAAGGGCACAGACTCCTCCCATCTCCGTCACAGCCTGGCATTCCTGAGTGAAACAATGACCAGGGTGGGCTCTGAAACAATTACACAAGAAACACGAACCCGCAGGGTACAGCTGGTCAGCCACGTTGCAGAAACAGGTTGGGGTGGTGTAAGCCACAGAGCTTGGTGCCACAGAGGTGGATGCCACGGAGGTGAATGCCACGAAGGTGGATGGCACGAAGGTGGACGGAGAAGGATGTGCGGTTGTGGTAGAAGTCCCATAGGGAGAAACGGAGGTCACTGGGCAGCCTTTGGGGGTCTCACAGCAGAGCACGCGCACCTGGTAGTTGAGGCACATCTGGAAGGGCCCCTGCTGGTCCTGGTTCCGGCACACCAGGCCCTCCTCGTGGCTGCACTGCACCACCTGGCCCAGGTGCTCGATGCTCACGTCCGGGTGGCTCTCGGCTCGGCACTGGAGCCTGGTGATGGCCTCAGGCCGGCGGCAGATTCTCTCCCCGCTCCGGATGATGTTGCTGTAGGTCTCCTGGTCTCCCCCGTGGGGCCCAGGGGACGGGAAGTCCACGTCGAACCACTTGGTCCAGCTGCAGCGGGGCTGACAGTCTCTGGTGACTGGTCGGGTGTGCGTTCTGGTGGACACGGAAACATGGCTCGTGCTAGGCTTGGAAACAGAGGTTGTGCTGGTGATGGGAGCTGAGGTCGTGCTGGTTGTAGGGGGAGAGGTCTTGCTGGTGGTGGGAACAGGGCTGGGAGTCGTTCCAGAACCAGAGGTCGTGGTGGTCGTAGGAGCTGAGCTTGTGCTAGTTATGGGAACTGGGCTGGGAGTCTTTCTAGGACCAGAGGTCGCGGTGGTCGTAGGAGCTGAGGTTGTGCTAGTTATGGGAACAGGGCTGGGAGTCGTTCCAGGACCAGAGGTCGTGGTGGTTGTAGGAGCTGAGCTTGTGCTGGTCTGTGGAGCAGAGGTCGTGCTGGTGGTGGGAACAGGGCTGGGACTAGTTCCAGGACCAGAGGTTGTGCTGGTCTGTGGAGCTGAGGTCGTGCTGGGCTGTGCAGTGGAGGTTGTGCTGGCTGTCACCAGTGTGGTCGTCCTGGATTTGTGCCAAGAGGAGGTGCTGTGTGTTGGGTTGGTGGCTCTCTCACTTGGGGTGCCAGGAACTGTGACTGGTATGATCTCGGGGCAACCTTTGGGGGTCTCACAGCAGAGCACGCGCACCTGGTAGTTGAGGCACATCTGGAAGGGCCCCTGCTGGTCCTGGTTCCGGCACACCAGGCCCTCCTCGTGGCTGCACTGCACCACCTGGCCCAGGTGCTCGATGCTCACGTCCGGGTGGCTCTCGGCTCGGCACTGGAGCCTGGTGATGGCCTCAGGCCGGCGGCAGATTCTCTCCCCGCTCCGGATGATGTTGCTGTAGGTCTCCTGGTCTCCCCCGTGGGGCCCGGGGGACGGGAAGTCCACGTCGAACCACTTGGTCCAGCTGCAGCGGGGCTGACAGTCTCTGGTGACTGGTCGGGTGTGCGTCGTGGTGGACACGGAAACATGGATTGTGCTGGGCTTGGAAACAGAGGTTGTGCTGGTGATGGGAGCTGAGGTCCTGCTGGTTGTAGGGGGAGAGGTCTTGCTGGTGGTGGGAACAGGGCTGGGAGTCGTTCCAGGACCAGAGGTCGTGGTGGTCGTAGGAGCTGAGGTTGTGCTCCTGGTGGGAACTGGGCTGGGAGTCGTTCCAGGACCAGAGGTTGCGCTGGTCGTAGGGGCTGAGGTTGTGCTAGTTATGGGAACAGGGCTGGGAGTCGTTCCAGGACCAGAGGTCGTGGTGGTTGTAGGAGCTGAGCTTGTGCTGGTCTGTGGAGCAGAGGTCGTGCTGGTGGTGGGAACAGGGCTGGGACTAGTTCCAGGACCAGAGGTTGTGCTGGTCTGTGGAGCTGAGGTCGTGCTGGGCTGTGCAGTGGAGGTTGTGCTGGCTGTCACCAACGTGGTTGTCCTGGATTTGTGCCAAGAGGAGGTGCTGTGTGTTGGGCTAGTGGCTTTCTCACTTGGGGTGCCAGGAGCTGTGACTGGTGTGATCTCGGGGCAGCCTTTGGGGGTCTCGCAGCAGAGCATGCGCACCTGGTAGTTGAGGCACATCTGGAAGGGCCCCTGCTGGTCCTGGTTCCGGCACACCAGGCCCTCCTCGTGGCTGCACTGCACCACCTGGCCCAGGTGCTCGATGCTCACGTCCGGGTGGCTCTCGGCTCGGCACTGGAGCCTGGTGATGGCCTCAGGCCGGCGGCAGATTCTCTCCCCGCTCCGGATGATGTTGCTATAGGTCTCCTGGTCTCCCCCGTGGGGCCCGGGGGACGGGAAGTCCACGTCAAACCACTTGGTCCAGCTGCAGCGGGGCTGACAGTCTCTGGTGACTGGTCGGGTGTGCGTTGTGGACACGGAAACATGGCTTGTGCTGGGCTTGGAAACAGAGGTTGTGCTGGTGATGGGAGCTGAGGTCCTGCTGGTTGTAGGGGGAGAGGTCTTGCTGGTGGTGGGAACAGGGCTCGGAGTCGTTCCAGGACCAGAGGTCATGGTGGTCGTAGGAGCTGAGGTTGTGCTCCTGGTGGGAACTGGGCTGGGAGTCGTTCCAGGACCAGAGGTTGCGCTGGTCGTAGGGGCTGAGGTTGTGCTAGTTATGGGAACAGGGCTGGGAGTCTTTCTAGGACCAGAGGTCGCGGTGGTCGTAGGAGCTGCGGTTGTGCTAGTTATGGGAACAGGGCTGGGAGTCGTTCCAGGACCAGAGGTCGTGGTGGTTGTAGGAGCTGAGCTTGTGCTGGTCTGTGGAGCAGAGGTCGTGCTGGTGGTGGGAACTGGGCTGGAACTAGTTCCAGGACCAGAGGTTGTGCTGGTCGTAGGAGCTGAGGTCGTGCTGGGCTGTGCAGTGGAGGCTGTGCTGGCTGTCACCAACGTGGTTGTCCTGGATTTGTGCCAAGAGGAGGTGCTGTGTGTTGGGCTAGTGGCTTTCTCACTTGGGGTGCCAGGAGCTGTGACTGGTGTGATCTCGGGGCAGCCTTTGGGGGTCTCGCAGCAGAGCATGCGCACCTGGTAGTTGAGGCACATCTGGAAGGGCCCCTGCTGGTCCTGGTTCCGGCACACCAGGCCCTCCTCGTGGCTGCACTGCACCACCTGGCCCAGGTGCTCGATGCTCACGTCCGGGTGGCTCTCGGCTCGGCACTGGAGCCTGGTGATGGCCTCAGGCCGGCGGCAGATTCTCTCCCCGCTCCGGATGATGTTGCTGTAGGTCTCCTGGTCTCCCCCGTGGGGCCCGGGTGACGGGAAGTCCACGTCGAACCACTTGGTCCAGCTGCAGCGGGGCTGACAGTCTCTGGTGACTGGTCGGGTGTGCGTTGTGGTGGACACGGAAACATGGCTCGTGCTGGGCTTGGAAACAGAGGTTGTGCTGGTGATGGGAGCTGAGGTCGTGCTGGTTGTAGGGGGAGAGGTCTTGCTGGTGGTGGGAACAGGGCTGGGAGTCGTTCCAGGACCAGAGGTCGTGGTGGTCATAGGAGCTGAGCTTGTGCTGGTCTGTGGAGCAGAGGTCGTGCTGGTGGTGGGAACAGGGCTGGGACTAGTTCCAGGACCAGAGGTTGTGCTGGTCTGTGGAGCTGAGGTCGTGCTGGGCTGTGCAGTGGAGGTTGTGCTGGCTGTCACCAGTGTGGTCGTCCTGGATTTGTGCCAAGAGGAGGTGCTGTGTGTTGGGCTGGTGGCTCTCTCACTTGGGGTGCCAGGAACTGTGATTGGTGTGATCTCGGGGCAGCCTTTGGGGGTCTCGCAGCAGAGCACGCGCACCTGGTAGTTGAGGCACATCTGGAAGGGCCCCTGCTGGTCCTGGTTCCGGCACACCAGGCCCTCCTCGCGGCTGCATTTCACCACCTGGCCCAGGTGCTCGATGCTCACGTCCGGGTGGCTCTCGGCTCGGCACTGGAGCCTGGTGATGGCCTCAGGCCGGCGGCAGATTCTCTCCCCGCTCCGGATGATGTTGCTATAGGTCTCCTGGTCTCCCCCGTGGGGCCCGGGGGACGGGAAGTCCACGTCAAACCACTTGGTCCAGCTGCAGCGGGGCTGACAGTCTCTGGTGACTGGTCGGGTGTGCGTTGTGGACACGGAAACATGGCTTGTGCTGGGCTTGGAAACAGAGGTTGTGCTGGTGATGGGAGCTGAGGTCCTGCTGGTTGTAGGGGGAGAGGTCTTGCTGGTGGTGGGAACAGGGCTCGGAGTCGTTCCAGGACCAGAGGTCATGGTGGTCGTAGGAGCTGAGGTTGTGCTCCTGGTGGGAACTGGGCTGGGAGTCGTTCCAGGACCAGAGGTTGCGCTGGTCGTAGGGGCTGAGGTTGTGCTAGTTATGGGAACAGGGCTGGGAGTCGTTCCAGGACCAGAGGTCGTGGTGGTTGTAGGAGCTGAGCTTGTGCTGGTCTGTGGAGCAGAGGTCGTGCTGGTGGTGGGAACTGGGCTGGAACTAGTTCCAGGACCAGAGGTTGTGCTGGTCGTAGGAGCTGAGGTCGTGCTGGGCTGTGCAGTGGACGTTGTGCTGGCTGTCACCAACGTGGTTGTTCTGGATTTGTGCCAAGAGGAGGTGCTGTGTGTTGGGCTAGTGGCTTTCTCACTTGGGGTGCCAGGAGCTGTGACTGGTGTGATCTCGGGGCAGCCTTTGGGGGTCTCGCAGCAGAGCACGCGCACCTGGTAGTTGAGGCACATCTGGAAGGGCCCCTGCTGGTCCTGGTTCCGGCACACCAGGCCCTCCTCACGGCTGCACTTCACCACCTGGCCCAGGTGCTCGATGCTCACGTCCGGGTGGCTCTCGGCTCGGCACTGGAGCCTGGTGATGGCCTCAGGCCGGCGGCAGATTCTCTCCCCGCTCCGGATGATGTTGCTGTAGGTCTCCTGGTCTCCCCCGTGGGGCCCGGGGGACGGGAAGTCCACGTCGAACCACTTGGTCCAGCTGCAGCGGGGCTGACAGTCTCTGGTGACTGGTCGGGTGTGCGTCGTGGTGGACACGGAAACATGGATTGTGCTGGGCTTGGAAACAGAGGTTGTGCTGGTGATGGGAGCTGAGGTCCTGCTGGTTGTAGGGGGAGAGGTCTTGCTGGTGGTGGGAACAGGGCTGGGAGTCGTTCCAGGACCAGAGGTCGTGGTGGTCGTAGGAGCTGAGGTTGTGCTCCTGTGGGAACTGGGCTGGGAGTCGTTCCAGGACCAGAGGTTGCGCTGGTCGTAGGGGCTGAGGTTGTGCTAGTTATGGGAACAGGGCTGGGAGTCGTTCCAGGACCAGAGGTCGTGGTGGTTGTAGGAGCTGAGCTTGTGCTGGTCTGTGGAGCAGAGGTCGTGCTGGTGGTGGGAACTGGGCTGGAACTAGTTCCAGGACCAGAGGTTGTGCTGGTCGTAGGAGCTGAGGTCGTGCTGGGCTGTGCAGTGGACGTTGTGCTGGCTGTCACCAACGTGGTTGTTCTGGATTTGTGCCAAGAGGAGGTGCTGTGTGTTGGGCTAGTGGCTTTCTCACTTGGGGTGCCAGGAGCTGTGACTGGTGTGATCTCGGGGCAGCCTTTGGGGGTCTCGCAGCAGAGCACGCGCACCTGGTAGTTGAGGCACATCTGGAAGGGCCCCTGCTGGTCCTGGTTCCGGCACACCAGGCCCTCCTCACGGCTGCACTTCACCACCTGGCCCAGGTGCTCGATGCTCACGTCCGGGTGGCTCTCGGCTCGGCACTGGAGCCTGGTGATGGCCTCAGGCCGGCGGCAGATTCTCTCCCCGCTCCGGATGATGTTGCTGTAGGTCTCCTGGTCTCCCCCGTGGGGCCCGGGTGACGGGAAGTCCACGTCGAACCACTTGGTCCAGCTGCAGCGGGGCTGACAGTCTCTGGTGACAGGTCGGGTGTGGGTGCCGTGCGTGACGCTGGTTGCCGTGGACGCGGCTGTGGAGGAGGCTGTGGGGTGTGGTGTGGAGGCCCAGGGCCGGTGTGTGGTGGAGGTGGCCCGGGTCTCGGTGCTGGTTCGGCGTGGGGTCGTCCGTGTGGTGGTGCCCGTCTTGGGCGTTCTGGTGACGTCTCTGCACACGTCCACCGTCTCGCAGCACTGGATGCGGATCTGGTAGTTGTAGCAGATGGGCGGGAGCTGGTTCTTGTTGAGGCAAATCAGGCCCTCCGTGGGGCTGCAGGTGACGTCCTGCCCCAGCTCTGCCAGCGGCGTGTCGGGGAGGCTCTCCGCCCGGCACTCCACTGCTCGAGGATGTTCACAGAACCTGTATCCTTCGGCTCTCAGATTCTGAAATGTGTCAAAATCTCCGCTATCTCTGCTGGAACCCGGGTAGCTGCCGTCAATCCAGTCCGTCCAGGTGCAGAACTCCTGCCGGCAGGAGACCGTGCTGGGCTCAGGAGGGGCGGTCCCGCTGGAGACCCCTGCGGTCCCCGGGGCTGTGGTCGGCATGGACGACGTGGCTGGCCCTGACGAAGGGCTGGGAGTTGAGACAGGTGTTTCGACAGACGTAGCAGGGCCTGGGGCGGGTGTTGTCCTGGTGGTGCGGGTTGTCGGAGCAGAGGCTGTGCTGTGGCCTGGGCCGGGTGTTCTCCTGGTACTGTGGGTTGTAGGAGCAGAGGTCGTGCTGGTCTGTGGAGCAGAGGTCGTGCTGGTGGTGGGAACAGGGCTGGGACTAGTTCCAGGACCAGAGGTTGTGCTGGTCGTAGGAGCTGAGGTCGTGCTGGGCTGTGCAGTGTAGGTTGTGCTGGCTGTCACCAGTGTGGTCGTCCTGGATTTGTGCCAAGAGGAGGTGCTGTGTGTTGGGCTGGTGGCTCTCTCACTTGGGGTGCCAGGAGCTGTGACTGGTGTGATCTCGGGGCAGCCTTTGGGGGTCTCGCAGCAGAGTACGCGCACCTGGTAGTTGAGGCACATCTGGAAGGGCCCCTGCTGGTCCTGGTTCCGGCACACCAGGCCCTCCTCGTGGCTGCACTGCACCACCTGGCCCAGGTGCTCGATGCTCACGTCCGGGTGGTTCTCGGCTCGGCACTGGAGCCTGGTGATGGCCTCAGGCCGGCGGCAGATTCTCTCCCCGCTCCGGATGATGTTGCTGTAGGTCTCCTGGTCTCCCCCGTGGGGCCCGGGGGACGGGAAGTCCACGTCGAACCACTTGGTCCAGCTGCAGCGGGGCTGACAGTCTCTGGTGAGTGGTCGGGTGTGCGTTGTGGACACGGAAACATGGCTTGTGCTGGGCTTGGAAACAGAGGTTGTGCTGGTGATGGGAGCTGAGGTCCTGCTGGTTGTAGGGGGAGAGGTCTTGCTGGTGGTGGGAACAGGGCTCGGAGTCGTTCCAGGACCAGAGGTCATGGTGGTCGTAGGAGCTGAGGTTGTGCTCCTGGTGGGAACTGGGCTGGGCATAGTTACAGGACCAGAGGTTGCGCTGGTCGTAGGAGCTGAGGTTGTGCTCCTGGTGGGAACAGGGCTGGGAGTCGTTCCAGGACCAGAGGTCGTGGTGGTTGTAGGAGCTGAGGTTGTGCTCCTGGTGGGAACAGGGCTGGGAGTCGTTCCAGGACCAGAGGTCGTGGTGGTTGTAGGAGCTGAGCTTGTGCTGGTCTGTGGAGCAGAGGTCGTGCTGGTGGTGGGAACTGGGCTGGAACTAGTTCCAGGACCAGAGGTTGTGCTGGTCGTAGGAGCTGAGGTCGTGCTGGGCTGTGCAGTGGACGTTGTGCTGGCTGTCACCAACGTGGTTGTCCTGGATTTGTGCCAAGAGGAGGTGCTGTGTGTTGGGCTAGTGGCTTTCTCACTTGGGGTGCCAGGAGCTGTGACTGGTGTGATCTCGGGGCAGCCTTTGGGGGTCTCGCAGCAGAGCACGCGCACCTGGTAGTTGAGGCACATCTGGAAGGGCCCCTGCTGGTCCTGGTTCCGGCACACCAGGCCCTCCTCGCGACTGCACTGCACCACCTGGCCCAGGTGCTCGATGCTCACGTCCGGGTGGCTCTCGGCTCGGCACTGGAGCCTGGTGATGGCCTCAGGCCGGCGGCAGATTCTCTCCCCGCTCCGGATGATGTTGCTGTAGGTCTCCTGGTCTCCCCCGTGGGGCCCGGGTGACGGGAAGTCCACGTCGAACCACTTGGTCCAGCTGCAGCGGGGCTGACAGTCTCTGGTGACAGGTCGGGTGTGGGTGCCGTGCGTGACGCTGGTTGCCGTGGACGCGGCTGTGGAGGAGGCTGTGGGGTGTGGTGTGGAGGCCCAGGGCCGGTGTGCGGTGGAGGTGGCCCGGCTCTCGGTGCTGGTTCGGCGTGGGGTCGTCCGTGTGGTGGTGCCCGTCTTGGGCGTTCTGGTGACGTCTCTGCACACGTCCACCGTCTCGCAGCACTGGATGCGGATCTGGTAGTTGTAGCAGATGGGCGGGAGCTGGTTCTTGTTGAGGCAAATCAGGCCCTCCGTTGGGCTGCAGGTGACATCCTGCCCCAGCTCTGCCAGCGGCGTGTCGGGGAGGCTCTCCGCCCGGCACTCCACTGCTCGAGGATGTTCACAGAACCTGTATCCTTCGGCTCTCAGATTCTGAAATGTGTCAAAATCTCCGCTATCTCTGCTGGAACCCGGGTAGCTGCCGTCAATCCAGTCCGTCCAGGTGCAGAACTCCTGCCGGCAGGAGACCGTGCTGGGCTCAGGAGGGGCGGTCCCGCTGGAGACCCCTGCGGTCCCCGGGGCTGTGGTCGGCATGGACGACGTCGTGGCCGGCCCTGACATAGGGCTGGGAGTTGAGACAGGTGTTTCAACAGACGTAGCAGGGCCTGGGGCGGGTGTTGTCCTGGTACTGTGGGTTGTCGGAGCAGAGGCTGTGCTGGGGCCCGGGCCGGCTGTTCTCCTGGCTGTAGGAAGCTCCCCGGGGCCAGGTGTGCTGCTGGGGGCGGAGGAGGCTGAGGCCCAGGTCTCGGTGGTCTTGGAGGTTGCTGGAGGGGTGGTCGGGGCTGTGCCCGCGGTGGAGCAGGTGAGGGGCGTGCAGCACAACACACGGACCTGGTAGTTGTAGCAGAGCCCGGACGCCTGCTCCCTGTTACGGCAGATCAGCCCCACGCCCGGGCTGCACAGCACATGCTGACCCAGGGCTCGGAGCGGCACCCCAGGTGCGTCCTCTGCCCGGCACTCCACCGACCTGGGCGCCGTGCACACCGGGTACCCATGAGCGCGGAGGTTCTCCAGCGTGTCAAAGTCACCGCTGTCCACGCCCCGTCCAGGACGGCTGATGTCCAGCCACGGCGACCACAGGCACTCTTCCCCGCAGGCCGGCTGCGGCGAGGCGGACGCTGTGGACGGCCTCGGCCTGGGAGAAGTGCCCGCTGTGGGGGACGAGGCGCTGCTGGCGGGGCCCGTGCGCGCCTCACCTGGGCTGGTGCTGGGGACAGGCGTGGAGCTCACGACTACGGCAGAAAAGAAGGCAGTTAAGCATGAGAGGCCGGCACTCGGGGGCCGCCCCGCCCTCCCTGCGGCCCTGTCAGCTGTCTGGGGCCACGCCAGCGGGCCTGTCTGCCTGTCCTACCCACGACCCCTGCCCAGAACCCGCGTGGGTGGCACAGGTGCCGAAGAGCCAGGCGAACTGACTGTGTTTAAAGAAAGCAGCTCCCAGGCCATGCCCTGAGCAGGGTCCACACACCTGCACCCCAGAAAGCCAGCATTCTGGAGCTTTCCACTCAGAGAACTCAGATGATGCCTTGGGGCCCTGAGACATCCCCAGGGGAGGGTGAGGACGCAGAGGGACCTGCGCTCTGAGCAGAGTGACGGAAGCCACGGCCATGCATCCCTGGGGCCCGCCTGGGCTGCCAGACCCCCCACACTCCCGTGAGGCCAGGCCAAGGAGCTGCTGAGGGCAGCAGCGTCAGTGCTGGGCCTGCCTGGGTGACTTGCAGGCTGGGCCCTTTCCACTGCTGGTGGCCAGTGGGGAAATGGCAGGTCCTCCCTGAGCAAACACCCTGCTCCTGGTCCCTTCCCGATCCCCAGGGGCTGCCACCCCTGCCCAGTGCTGGCGAGGGCAGCTGTGCCAGGCATTGGGAGGGCTCCCCGGAGCAGCATTTGCCTTACCGAGCGGAGGTGTGGAGAAGGAGAAGGTGGTTGTGGGCGCGGGGGTTGGGGGGCTGCAGGGGTAGACCCTCCTCTCGATGGTGCCGTTGTCCCCGCAGCGGGCGGAGATGCAGCCACCCATGCCATCCGTGGTGTGGTAGATGACATCCCCGGGCCGGAAGTGCTGCCCGCCGTAGCTGCAGACACAGGCTGTGGGGACAGATGGGCCAGGCCCATCAGAGACTGGGCGTGGGCAAAGACCCTGGACCCCGGCCCCCCCAACCCCCAGCCCCCAGCCTGCCGGCTGCAGAGACCCCAGACCCCAGTCCACCCACCCGCAGGGGCTGCTGGCCACTTACCTTTGGCATCGTAGGTGCACTGCACGCCACGCTCGGTGCAGAGGCTAGAGACAAGGAAGAAGGGGAGGCTGGTGTGTGGGGAGGCTGGTGTGTGGGGAGGCTGGTATGTGGGGAGGCTGGTTCGGGGAGGCTGGTGTGTGGGGCAGCCACATGCCCTCCACAGGGCGTCCCACAATACCAAGGGTGGGGGTAGCAGCTCCAGCAGGGCTGCCCTGGGTGCTGCATTGTACCCCCAGACTGGGGACAGGGAGGCTGGCCCCACCTGGGTCCCAGCAGCTGTCCCTCAGGGTCAGCCCGAGGTCCCACCCTCATCGAGCCCCTCTGGTCGGGGGCCGGGGAGGCGGGCGCCAGAGGGCAGCCATTGCCTCCCCGGGTTATTTTAACGGGCGTCCCTCCTGTGAGGCCCTGGGGCTCCATCTCGGCCCAGCTCCCCCACACACCCTCCCTGCACCCCTCGGCCTGCACCCAGAGGCCGTGCTGGTTTCTGCCCAGAGGAGCCCAACTCCCAGCCCTGCCTCTGGGCCTCAGGACATGGGGTGCTGGCCCCTGAGAAGCTTGTGTCACAGGCTCCTGGGCCCGGACGGGACCCATAGCTGCAACCCCAGCAACAGGGAGGCCCCAGCCCTGCGGCTCCCGGCTGCACCGAAAGCCCAGGCCAGGGCCGAATCCCCCACCTGCTCCAGGCTCCTCATTCCTCTGGCTGAAGTACTCACCAGGAATGGCAGTTCTTGTCCGAGGGCACCGCCATGCCGGGCCGGTAGGACTTGCCGTGTACGCGGCAGGGTGGGGACGGGGGCGGGTAGGGGCACCTGGCCACACACTGCATCTGCTCCTCATCAAAGATGGGAGCCTCTGGAGGGCACTTGGGGTAGCAGCCTGCAAGCCAGAGAAGCCAGAGTCACACCAGACCGAGTGGCAGCCGCTTCATCGAGGGCTCCACCCGGGCCCCAAGCAGCGGGCCTCACCTACAGCTCCCAAGTGTGCAGGAGGCAGGGGCACATAGCCTCCTTGAGAGGCCAGGAGAAGGCCACAGGCGGCGGAGCCCAGGCCAGCCCCTCCCAGGCAGCCCCGCCGGCCCCAGCCCACCTTCCAAGCCCCAGACGTCCCCAGGCCAGCCCCTCCCGCCGGCCCCAGCCCACCTTCCAGGCCCCGGAGGCCCTGCAGGCAGTCTCCGCGGGGGTTCTGGCAGGTCCGCAGGCAGGGCGCCCCGCAGGGCTGGTAGTGCCACTCGCACTGGCCCTCAGGGTTGTAGTAGTCGCAGAACAGAGCTGCAGGGAGGGACGGAGGGCTCCATGGGCCCCAGGCGCTCGCTCAGGGAGGCCTGCACCCGGGGCTGCTCTAAAGCCGCTTCCCTCCCCTGGGCCTTCCCGCCATCGCAAGATGGGGACAGGGGAGGGGATGGGGACAGGGGAGGGTGAATGCCACAGAGGTGGCCGGCAGAGTGGGGGTCTCCAGCCAGAGCACCTCGAGTGCGCCTGCTCCTGGCAAGGCTCTTCGTGGCTAGAGCTGGGCAGCTCTGCCCGCCCCTCTGCCCCACAGACCACCCCTCCACCGGCCACCCCTCCACCGGCCACCCCTCCACCGGCCACCCCTCCTCTCTGGGCCGAGGTGTTCTTGTTTCTCTGGGGACCCTCCCACGCCCGTCCGGCACGTGTGGCTGGGCTCTCCCTGCTGGCGCTTCCCGTTCCACTCACGGCAGATGCTGGGGGTCCTCCAGGACACGCACAGCCCCACTTCGTGGCAGGCCTGGGCGTAGGCGGCCACAGCCGTGCAGAAGCACTCACAGTCGCCCCCCGAGTCGCAGGCGCACGCGTCGTTCACGCAGGCCTCGTAGTACCTGGCCGGCTCCACCTGTGGGAGATGGGGCACAGTTCCTGGGCCTCCACCCTCGGCACATCAACCGGGCCCAGTTCCGGCGGGGCTCGAGGAGAGCAAACGCCTGTCCCCGGATGGCCGGCTGGGCCCGTCTGGATGTCTGCAGGGTCCGGGGCTTCCTCGGCAGCCCCGGGGTGAACTACCGCCCAGGGCCCTGGACCCGCAGCTGACACCGGCGCCTCTGGGGGAGTCCACACCCTTGGTTGACGGCTGCCCTCCAGCCCCAGCCCCAGCCCCTTCTGGGGCCTCCTTGGGTCACCATGACCCGTTGGGCCCGGAGGAAAGCCCCCCACCCCGGCCCGCGTACGTGTGCGTGGCAGGCGGCGAAGGTGGGGCCGTGGAGGATGCTGCACTGCTTCTGGGCCCAGGACTTGCGGAAAGGGTTGGCCGTGCAGGGGTCCTTGGGCGCCATGGCGTCCGGGCAGGACGGGGAGAGCTTCCAGCTGTTCCCGAACTCCAGCGAGTCCCCCACCACGGACCGGCTCCGCGTGGTGAAGTCGTTGATGGCGTTGCCGTCGAAGTTCCCGCACAGGCCGCAGACCCTGCCCTGCAGAGGTGCCCAGCGAGGGGGGGGTGACTGCAGGCAAGGAAGCCCCTGGAAGGCCAGGGGCCCTGCCCCGAGGCCGCCGCCTCCTACCCAGGCAGCGGGGCACGACCACGGGTGCCGCTTCCTCCTTCCCGCCTCCAGCTACACCTGCGGAGCCCCCGGGCAGTGCCACCGAGCATGGAGGGCCAGGGCCAGGCACAAGCCCGTCCTGGAGAGAAAGGAGCCGGCGTGGCCTCAAAGGACCCACTCAAGTCCTGACCCTGCCTGTGCGTGGTGCCTCGCTGGGAAATGGGGCCTGGCAGATGGAGGGTCCTGAGTGAAGGTGACGGACCCTGGATTCAGTGCCAGGTGTCCTTGTAAAGGAGGAAACTTAGACCCAGGCACAGGGACGAGGCTGCGGGAAGACAGGCAGCCGTCCCAGCTCGCGGCCACAGCCGAGGAGCAGATGCCAGGGGCCATATGGGAAGCAGAAAAGTTCCTTTTTAAAGTTTCCTTTCTTGTCATAAATGTGCTAATAACTGTGAAGCCCTATCCTGTGTAGCTGTCAGACACGCCATGCGTGCAGGCACGTAGTACCTTCTGTGTCCTGTACCTTCACCATGGTATCTGTGCTGGACGTGCTCACAGGCATGTCCCAGCCCTCCACTGGTTTCACCTGTTTAGAAAAGTTTTAAGTTGTAGCCAATAGGGTTTAGTTTAGATTGTGAGGCCTGGCTCCAGCCAACGGAGATCAGACACAGCAGTAAGGACGACCCCAGACGCGTGAGGGATGAATCTGTCTGTTTCCATTTGTTCATTGTCCTCTCAAAGCACAATGGCTAGCCAGGGTGCCCTTTCTGCAGGCCAGGAAGTAAAAGTTGCGTTGCTGAAAGAGCCTTTGTCTCGGTGGTGATTTTTCTTTTCTTTTTTTTTTTTTTTTTTTTTTTTTTTTGAGACGGAGTTTCGCTCTTGTTGCCCAGGCTGGAGTGCAATGGCGCGATCTCGGCTCACCGCAACCTCCGCCTCCTGGGTTCAGGCAATTCTCCTGCCTCAGCCTCCTGAGTAGCTGGGATTACAGGCACGCAGCCACCATGCCCAGCTAATTTTTGTATTTTTATAGAGATGGGGTTTCACCACGTTGACCAGGATGGTCTCCATCTCTTGACTTCGTGATCCACCCGCCTCGGCCTCCCAAAGTGCTGGGATTACAGGCTTGAGCCACCGCGCCCGGCTTCGGTGGTGATTTTTCTTTGCGGCACTGAGCATCTATTCCCAACAGGCCAGGAGGAGCCCCCAGAGTCTCCCAGAAGAGCTCGGCCCCACGGATGCCCTGCTGGACTGCAGTATCCAGGCTGTGAGCAAATCCACCAGGGCGGGCCTTTGCCGCAGCCCCAGAACGTGGACACCCGGGCAAGGAGCCTCCTGAGCGGCTGCCCTTCCCAGCCCTTCCACCTCTGTGCTTCTCTCGGTGTCTCTGTGCCTCCCATCTCTGCCCACCTGTCCCACGCCCCTCAACACCCCAGGTTTCCAGCCAGCTGTGGCTGGGGCGAGGGCTGTGGTCTTACCTTGAACTCGGGGCTGAGGCTGATGAAGATGCTGGTCTTCTTGTCCCACAGCAGCACCAGCCCGACGTCGGTGTCCACCACCAGGTAGATGCCCATCTGCCGGATGGCGTACGGCACCTCCTGCCCTTCGTCCGTCCCGATCACCTCCACCTTCCCGTGGCTCAGCTTCAGCTCGGAGCCCTGCGCGGCAAAGGTCACTCAGCGCCCCCGGTGAGAACCCCAGTCCACCTGGCCGGACGCCGCTGTGGGAGCCTCCCGCAGGGCGCCGACCACCCAGCCTCGCTCACCCCCAGGAAGATCTTGATGGCCTTGGAGCAGGTGGTCCCTGTGGTGCCGCAGGGGACGTTCTCCGTGACGATGCGGAAGGAGTCCTGGGCGCTGCTGTTCCCGCCACAGTCGTTCTGGGGAAGCAGAGCCCATCAGGGAGCAGGCTGGCCCCGCTCTCCTTCCCATGAGGAGGCCGGGGTGGGGACAGCCTGTGTGCACCCTGGGGCGGCTGCCGCGGAGAGGCGGTGAGCGGCCTTGAGGACCCCAGGACGCCGGCTCACCTGCAGCAGCGTGTACTCGCAGTCTCCGTTGAAGCTGTAGCTCTGCCCGTCGAAGGTCAGGTAGTGGCCGTCCCCGTACACAGCGCAGGTGGCCAGGCAGGGGTCGTCTGTGCACCGCCACATCCTGCTTTCACAGGTGCTGGGGGACAGTTGGGAGTCAGGCCAGAGCACCCACAGGGGGCCTGCCTAGCCGGGTGCAGCCTTCCTAACCCCAGGGGGACCCGGCACCACAGACACGTGCCCACTGGCTGGGGATGCCTGGGGCGTCCCCCCACTGAGCCTGTGCCCTGTGTTTTCTTGGGACCGCTGTGCTAGGGGCTCGCCTGTCTCTAAGGACGGCCTCCGATGCCCCAGCCCAACACCCTCCATGGGCCTCCCCGGCTGAGGCTGCCAGGAGCGACTGCCCTGAGCCTGTGCCCGGCATTTTCCCAGGACCGCTGTGCTGTGGGCTCGCCCGTCTTTAAGGAGGCCCTTCTGGTACCCAGGCCGGACACCCTCCATGGGCTTTGAGCGCCCTCATACCAGGTATTGCAGCCCACTCGGATGGTCTGGCCGGCCCGGTAGCTGGCCTCGTTGTGCACACAGGGGCAGTCCTCCGCAGCAATGCAGCCGCCCTCGCCGTCCGCCACCAGCCCGTCGGGGCACACGCAGCCGGGCACACACTGGGGGCTGTACTGCAGAGCCAGCAGACACCACTGAGTGACGGGGTGGGGCACGGGGCCACCCAGGTCCTCCCGGGGAAAGCTCGGCCGCACCACGGTGGAGGGGCCACAGGACTAGGGAGCCTGGGGGGCATGTGGGCAGGGGTCCTCCGGGACGTGGGGCAGCCGGTGGCCTCCTGTGTCAGAGGCTTGCTACCACCCAACCCAGGGCAGGCACCCTTAGCAGGCGGTGGGGGCGATGGAGGGTCTGTCACTGGGGAGTCCCCAGGGGCTTACACAGGTCATGTCCAGGGTGTGGCAGCTCTTCTGACAGCCAGCCCCGGTGTCTCCCGGCGTGGCATTTCGGCAGTCAAAGAACACCATGGGCGCTGCACACACTGGGGAGGGAGGGGCCGTCAGGGGCTCAGCCACAGGCTGCTGCGGGGCCTCCACCACGCGTCAGGGAGGACGTGTCTGTGCCGTGTGTGTATGTGTGAGTGGGTGTGTGTGTGCAGGAGTGGGTGAGCATGTGTGCATGAGTGGGTGTTAGTGGGCATGCATGTGTGTGCGTGTGCATAAGTGGGTGTGTGAATGTGTGTACATTAGTGTGTATGCATGTGCGTGAGTGTGTGTGCGCATGAGTGGGTGTGTGATCCTGCGCATGAGTGGGTGTGAGTGTCACGTGTGCACCCACACCCTCCCTCCTTCCCCCCTGCTGGCTAGAGGGCACACCCCATGCCTGGCACTGAGCTGCTGACCAACAGCCACCAGCCCCATTGACTGGGTGGGACCAACCCTGAAGCCACTTGTCAGGACGTCTTGTGGAGATGAGGTGGGGGCCACAGTGCCTCCTCCCTGGCACTCACCTGGCACGGGGGCTTGGCCTCCAATACAGCTCAGCTGCCCATGCGTGCAGGTGCTGTGAGGAGACAGTGGTCAGAGCCTCACTCCGGGCCAGCGGGAACCAGGGACCCCCAGCCCACGGCAGGAGCTCTCACCAGATGGCCCCGCTGTCGTGCACTGACTCCCCGCTGGGGATGACGGAGCCGCGGTGGTAGCAGGGACAGCTGGTGGCCGGCACACACTTTCCTGTGTCATCCAGGAAGGTGCCCTCAGGACAGACGCAGCCATCCACGGGGACAAAGTCCACACTGCAGGTGACGTCCCCTTCACTCAGGGAGCGGCAGGTGGGCTGGCAGGTGCTGACGTGGTAGTGGTAGGTCATCGACTTGGGGCAGGTGGTCGTGGGCTTTGCTGCGGGATGCCAGGAAGAGGGGATTCTCAGGACACAGAGCCCGGCGGTGGGCAGCCAGCAGCCAGTGAGCCGGGCCTCTCGGTTCCCCTCCCCTCCCCTCCCCTCCCTGGCCCGGTCCAAGGCCAGCCGACCTGGGCGTCCTTGCCCTGGAGCCCAGCACAGAAGACAGGGACCCTTAGAGCAGCTGGGCACACCAGGGGCACCCCAAGACCCACAGCCACCCAGCGAAGGAGAGGGGTGGGGCTTGGCGGGCACTCACTAGCAGACGCCGTCCCTCCAGCCGCTGAGCCGCACGCCCTTGGCGGCTGCAGGCGTGCACGTAGGAGGACAGGGCGGCACACAGGCAGTCCTCGCTGCGCTCACAGTTGCAGGTGTCAAACATGCAGTTCTGCGGGGAGGGGGGCATCGGGGCGTCAGGGATCCCAGCCCGCACCTGGTGCCCTCCCACGACCTGCAGGCCACACACCCAGCAGCCAGGGTCCTTCCATCCCAGGTCTTCCTGCCTCCAGGACCCCTCCCAGAGTCCTCACGGGCATCCCACCCCCTCAGCAGACCCGCAGGGCATGGAGCAGAACCATCGTGGAAAGTAGCGGGCACTAGGAAGACCAGGTCCTTCATCCCTGTGACCCAACAGCTCCAGCCATGCCTAGCTTGCCCCAGACATGGTGAATCAGCTCAGCCTTGGCCTAATTCCCATTTGGCCCCGGGGCCAAACTGGCAACACACACCTGGGGTGTAGTCCCTGTGCCTAGCGTAGGGCTGGAGGAGCAAGAAAAACTCCATTAGAGTGGTGAATGAATGAGTGACTGAAGGAATGAATGAGGGAATGAGTAAGTGGATGAATGAGGAGGTGAAGGAATTCATGAGTGAGTAAATGAATGGATGACTAAGCGAAGAAATGAGTAAATGAATGGGTGAGTGAATGAATAAATGAATGAGTGAGTGAATCAGTGAGTGAGTGAGTGAATGAGTCAGTGAGTGTATGTGGGAGTGGGTGAGTGAGTGGGTGAGTGAGTGAATGCATGAGTGACTGAATGGGTCAATGGGTGAGTGGGTGGGTGAATGCATGAGTGGGTGAGCGAGTGAGTGGGTGAGTGAGTGGCTGAGTGGGTGGGTGAATGCATGAGTGGGTGAGTGGGTGAGTGAGTGGGTGAGTGGGTGGGTGAATGCATGAGTGGGTGAGCGAGTGAGTGGGTGAGTGAGTGGCTGAGTGGGTGGGTGAATGCATGAGTGGGTGAGTGGGTGAGTGAGTGGGTGAGTGGGTGGGTGAATGGGTGAGTGGGTGGGTGAGTGGGTGGGTGAATGGGTGAGTGGGTGGGTGGATGCATGAGTGGGTGAGTGAGTGAGTGGATGAGTGAGTGGGTGAGTGGGTGAGTGGGTGGGTGAATGCACGCAGTGGGTGGGTGGATGCATGAGTGGGTGAGTGAGTGAGTGGGTGAGTGAGTGGGTGAGAGGGTGGGTAAGTGGGTGAGTGAGTGGGTCAGTAGGTAGGTGAATGCATGAGTGGGTGAGCTAGTGAATGTGTGAATGGGTGGGTGAGTGGGTGAGTGGGTGAGTGGGTGGGTGAATGGGTGAGTGGGGATGTGGGGAATGGAGCTGGACAGGCTGAGTCCCAGCCCTCGGTGCCCATCACAGCCTAGAAAGGCTGGTCCTGCCTGCTGAGCCCCCCAGTGGCCTCGCAGCCCTCCAGAGGCAGCCATGAGGCCCAGTGGCCGGAGCCCCACTGAGCCCAGGAAGCAGCAGATGTTACCGAGTAGTAGGTGGCTGGGTTCACAGCCGCGTGGCAGTGGCTGAAGGGGCCATCAGTGTCGGTCAGCTGTGAGCACCAGTGCTGAGCGTACTTCTCTGTGGACAGAAGAGGGTCAGGCTTAGGGTCAGCTGGCACACTCACCTACCCAGCTTGGCCGTGGCGTGGACTTTGGGCACTTCATCCTGCTACACACTCAGCCTGGGCGATGTGGCACCACCCCCAAGGGAAAGCTCCCCAAGTACAGGGCACGATGTTGGAGCGGAGGTCTCTCTGGTTTCCCGCATGCCCCATCCAGCCCCTCACAGCCTCTCACAGCACCGCCTTCCAGGGATGCTAGTGACCACCACTGTAGGCAGACAAGCTGAGGCCCTCCCGACCCCTCCAATGGACTTGCTGGACCCCGGCACCCCAGGCTGCAAGAAGGAGGGAAGGCGGCCACGACCAGTGAGACGGGATCCCAAATCCCCACGGCTGCCGCCCGAGCTCCGCGGGTGGAGTGAATGACTGAATGAGTGACTGAGTCAATGACAGAGAGTGGGTGAGTAACTGGGTGAGTGAGTGAGTGAGTGAGTGAGCAGGTGAGTGGGTAAGTGACTGAGTGAGTGAGTGAGTGAGTGACTGGGTGAGTGAGTGGGTGAGTGGGTGAGTGGGTGAGTGAGTGACTGAGTGAATGGGTGAGTAAGTGCGTGATTGAGTCGGTGGGTGAGTGGATGAGTGAGTGAGTGAGTGAGTGACTGAGTCGGATGAGTGAGTGAATTAATGAGTGAGTAACAGCATGAGTGAGTGAGTGAGTGGGTGAGTGAGTGAATTAGTGAGTGACTGACTGAGTGAATTAGTGAGTGACTTAGTGACTGAGTGTGTGAGTGAGTGAGTAAGGGAGGGAGGGAGGGAGTTAGCGAGTGAGTGACTGAGTTGGTGAGTGACTGAGTGAATTAATGACTGAGTGACAGCGTAAGTGACTGACTGAGTGAATTAGTGAGTGACTGAGTGACTGACTGAGTGAGTGAGTGGGTGAATCCATTCCCCGGGTCCCCACCGCCCTGTCCAGCGCCGGGGTGGACGGTCAGGGTCAATGTCGGCCCACGGTAACTTCTGTCTGTCTTTTACCCTGAGGCAGGGGCCCCACATTCCTGAGGCTCCACGTGAGCCGGGTGAGGTGCCCTCCGGGAGCCTGTCCTAGGGCCCCTTCGCGAGCCACCCTGCCTGGCTCACCGGCCTCCACGCTGCCCTCAGCGCCAGATGGAAGCGGGTGAACCGGCACCCCACGGCCAGCATGGAGCGGCGCCGGCGGACACAGACACACACACTCACCGTTCTCCACGCTCAGGGAGCAGGGGTCCTCAAAGCTGTTCCTGACGTTGGGGCAGGCGGCCTGGGTCTTGAAGGTGTTGAAGAAGGCCGCGGCCGTGGCCTCCACCACCCCACTGAGGGTCCAGGAAGTCATCGGCCTGGATGCTGTTGAAGTTCCCGCAGAGACCTGGGGGCGGGGAAGGCGGGTTGAGGACGATGGCCAGCGGCAGAGTGGGTCAGCGCCGGCCCGAAGGCGGCCCTCTTACCGCAGGTCCGCCCGCGGAGCTCGGGTGCCAGCCGCACGAAGAGCTGCATGGTGGGCACCAGCTGCAGGTCCAGCTGCAGCCCCAGGCTGGTCTGGGCGATGATGAAGAAGGTCGAGGGTCTGAAGATGGTGATGTTGGCTGAGGACACATAGGACAAGCGTTTTGTGGGGGGCGCATGGCAGGACCCCAGGAGGCCCCGCGGTGGGGAGGAGGCGGCCGCCCTCACCTGCAGAGATGGGCAGCTGGGTGTAGATCTGGTTCAGGAACACTTCCCCGCTGGCCTTGATGACCACCACCTGCGGCGGCCGGGCAGACGTGTGAGCTCGGGGCAGGCTCCCACAGCCAGCCCCACCCCCGGAGGCCGTGAGATGTGCCCGCAGGTGCCCGGAGGCCTTTGCCTGCAGCTGCGGGTCCTGCAAGCCGGCCTCATGCTCACCCTGAATTTCTGAGTTTTCTGTGAGGACCATGCTTTTTATTCAAAACAGTGATTTATTAAGCAGAAATTGACTTCAGTGGAGAAGCCATGCTGGCCGCAGATGCGCCCACCTAGGCCCTCCTGCCTGGGGTCCCTTAGGTCAGCTATGGCGGCCAGGGTACACCCACCCTGAGCCGTTCCCTTTAGGGACAGTCAGTCAGTAACAGACACAGCCAGTGCTGTTCATGCCAGGGAAGAGGGACCCGGGCAGGGTCAACTTTCAGAGGAGACAGTCACGGTCCCCGTCCCGGGCTGCCCTGCCAGACCCCACTCACCGTCCGCGCTCCATCCAGGCTCAGCGTCACGCTCTTCAGGCAGGTCTCGCTGTCTGTCAGCCCGCACCTGCGCAGCTCGGCCAGCACGGTGAAGGTGCTGCTGTCACAGGGCTGCGGGGCAGGGCACACCGGGGCCCTCACACTCTGCCCAGCCCTCCCTGGGGCCCTCACACTCTGCCCAGCCCTCCCTGGGGCCCTCACCCCACCACACCCACAGCCCTCCCTGGGGGTCCTCACACTCTTCCCAGCCCTCCCTGGGGTCCTCACTCCTCCCGCACCCGCAGCCATCCCTGGGGGTCCTCATGTGCCACCTGCACCCACAGCCTGCCTGTGTTCCTCTCCCTCCCTGGAAACCCCCACTCCACCATCCCAGGCCCCAGGAGAGAGGTGTGCTCAGGAGCACCCCAGATGGGGACACACAGGCACACGGAGGACTTGGCGTGCACCCTGGGGGAGAGACAGTCGGCGAGCCCACACTCTGTGACGCCAACCACAGGACCCTCTGGGAAGGCAGCGCTCAGAAGGCACAAATGCCAGCAGCTGCCAGGGGCTGGGTGAAGGAGGGGTGAGGAGGCTGAGGGAGGGGTGAAGAAGGTGAGGGAGGGGTTAGGAGGCCGAGGGAGGGGTGAGGAGGGTGAGGAAGGGGTGCGGGTGGGAGACTGTGCTGGGTGCAGGGTCTCATCCCCACTGGGTGTGGGGAGACCGTGTGATGGGTTGGGAGTACCTTGTACTCAGTTTCTTTAAACCTAACTCTATTCTCAACAGTAAAGTCTGTTAAATAAACAGCTCAAGATTTGGAAAGCTGGGTGCTGGCTGGGGGCCAGGGTGCTGGGTGGGTGCTGGAGGCTCTGATCTGCAACCCCCATGGCCCCGTGGGGACCAGCACTGGGGAGTTGGGGTGCTTCCTTGAGGTCTCACCGTCAGGGACTCCCAAGGGTCACCCCCGGGGTGGCAGTGACACACAGCCTGGGATGGGGGAACCTATGGGAGTTTAGCCGTGGGCACCCTCTGTCCGGCAAGCGCACAGTGGCCAGGCCATCCCCTCTCTGTCTGGCAAGCACCCAGCACCCAGGCTGTAACCCTTCTGTCTGGCGAACACACAGGCCATCCCCCCTCTGTCTGGCAAACACCCAGGCCATCCCCACCCCGTCTGGTGAGCGCTGTGCACCCAGGCTGTACCTTGGTCAGCACATAGCTGCAGTCCCCATGGACTGTGTAGTGCCTCCCGTCAAACGTCGAGAAGTGGGCACCTCCAAGCACAGAGCAGGTGCCCGGGCACGGGACCTCCTGGCAGCTCCACCGGCCTCCGGAGCAGGTGCTGAGGGCAAGAGACGGTGCCACGTGGGTATCGGCCCCGGGACACCAGTCTCAGCCTCCGCATCAGGAGGAGGAGGTCTCACCCCGGCCTGCCTGCATCGCAGCCCAGGCCGGCAGTTCCTGCGGGCTGTCCCAGAGCACGTCCTGGGGGCCTGGAGGGAGTCCGGGACCTACCAGTTGGTACAGTCTGTAGAGTAGGTGGCCCCCGGGGCATAGACGGCCCCGTTGTAGACGCAAGCGCACTGCGACACAGGCACACACCCGGTCTGGCCGACGTCATCCAGCACCATCCCTGCGGGGTTCAGGCAGGCTTGTGAGACGTCCCCACTGTGTCCACGCAGGGGCATAGCAAGGGAATGACATGGCAGCCCTACAGTGAGCTGGGGCCTCAGCCAGCCTCAGGGGCCAGGGACAGGATCCTCAGCCAGCCTCAGGGGCCAGGGACAGGATCCTCAGCCAGCCTCAGGGACTCAGGACAGGATCCTCAGCCAGCCTCAGGGACTCAGGACAGGATCCTCAGCCAGCCTCAGGGGCCAGGGACAGGATCCTCAGCCAGCCTCGGGGACTCAGGACAGGGCCTCAGCCAGCCTCAGGGACTCAGGACAGGGCCTCAGCCAGCCTCAGGGACTCAGGACAGGGCCTCAGCCAGCCTCAGGGGCCAGGGACAGGATCCTCAGCCAGCCTCAGGGACTCAGGACAGGGCCTCAGCCAGCCTCAGGGACTCAGGACAGGGCCTCAGCCAGCCTCAGGGGCCCGGAACACCTGGGGCTGGGGTCCTTCCCTTGAGGCTTGGCCGCAGGAGCACAGCCCCCTAGTTCCCAGAGCCTCCGTTTCCCGGGGCAGGAGCCTCACCCTCGGGGCAGAAGCAGCCGGCCACACAGTGGTCTTCGCAGGCCCGGGAGTGCTCCTGGTTGGAGCAGGTGTCCGCGCAGGGCGAGCGGCACTCGTGGTACTGCATGTTGTGGGGGCACATCTGGGCTGCGGGGGGCAGAGAGACAGATCATGCCCACCGTCCTGCCCTCCCTGCCAGAGGGGATGGCGGACAGGGGGCCGGGGCACTCACGGCAGAGGTCCGGGCCCCGCCAGTCCTGGGGCGCGCCCCCCGCATGGGCGCACTGCCGGGAGTACTCGGCGAGGGTGTGGCAGACGCAGCCCGACGGGTCGCTGCCTTCGCAGAAGCAGAGGTCTTGCCTGCAGGCCTCCAGGTAGCTGCCCACGTCCACCAGGGCCGTGCAGTCGGAGAACAGCCGGCTGCTCAGGAGCTCCTCGCAGACGCCCTGGGGCGAAGGCCGCAGCCGTGAGTCCCTGTGGGGGACCCGGACTGGCTCCCGGACTCACAGCCCCTCCTCCTGCCCTGCCGGGGCCCCGTTCCCTCCGAGGCTCACAAAGCTGGTGGAGCAGTTCCTCGGGGCTTCAGGGACAGGGTCGGGACACTGCTCCGTGGGGTCGTCCATCTTCTGCAGGTTCCCGAACTCCATGGGTGTCAGCTTGGCGTCTGCGGGAAGCACAGGGGTGGGCTCTGCCTGCAGGTCCCGGTACCCCTCAGCCCAGGTCCCCTGGGCGGGGTCAGAAGGCCCCTGCGCCCTCAGGATGCCTGAGTTGTCCTGGCTATCCCCGTCTGGCCGCCCCATACATGCTGCCACGGGACCCTCGGGGGGTCTGGAGTGATGAGGGGAAGCGCCCAGGAGGCCAGTGTCCAGGCCACAGGGTGCCGCTGGCTGAGGCCACGGGACCCAGGACCCCGGTCTCCGCCTGCCGGGCTTGTGGGAGCAGGGGCCGCTGGAGCCCAAGCACCTCCCAGTCTCCTGACAGAGCCCGGTCACCCCAGTGCTGGCCTGCCTCGCCAAGGGCTGCTGGACACCAGGCCGACTCAGTTCCCCATAGAGGGTCACCCCATACCGGGGCTTGAGTGGGGCCTCCTGGGCCTGGCAGGGGAGGCGGGGCGTGGGGCCCTGGCCAGAGCAGGTCACATTTGCAAGGCCGCTGCCTGGGTGCAAAGACTCTAAGGCTAAGACTGGGCAGCTCTGTCATTTCAGGTGAGGGTGTGCAGTCAGGGCTCACTGCCCAGAGCAGCCACAGAGAGCAAGGGGCCCCCCGGGCAATCTGCTGCCCGCCTGCACCCTGCCTTGGGTGCACGTGCCCGTGCACGTGTGTGTCTGGCGTGTCGGAGGGTGGATGTGCACACAACTGGGGGTTCTGGGACACGGAGCTCCCGGGGACGCCGGGGACGGGCCGACGGCACGTGGGCTTACTGTGGGAGAGGAGCTCGCTGACCCCGGGCAGGCCGTTGAAGTCCCCGCAGAGCCCACAGGTCTTGTTGGCGTATTTGGTGTCCAGCTCGAGCTGTAAAGGGGGAGACATCAGATGCGCGTCCCCACCAGGGGCAGGTGGATAGGGGAGACTTGGGGAGGGGCTGGGGCCCCCGAAGGAGACCCCCCCCGGCAAGCCGTCTCCATCCTGGGGGCACAGACCCCAGGTTCCCATTGGTGCCTGGGCCCCTGCTCTCGCCTGCTGTGTGCGGTGGGGTCCGAGCCTGACGGAGCCCAGGGCACCTTCCACCCCCTCTAGAGAGGCTGCGGAGCAGGCCAGCTCTCGAGGTGCACACCAGGACCCCCCACCAGCCTCACCAGCAGGCTGTCGTCATGGTTCCACACGAGGACAAGGCCCAGCCTGGCCTCCACCTTGGTGTAGCTGCTGCTCTGCTGAATGAGGACCCCAGACTGGCTGAAGGGCAGCTGAACCCTGCAGAGGGAGGCGAGGCTGAGGGGCTGGGGAGCACGGTGAGGAGAGACCCCAGGCGGGGAAGGTGCCCGCAGCCTCGAGTGTGACAAGGTCATTGTGACTGTGAAGTCATGTCTGGCATGGGGACAGTGACCTCTGGAGCTCTGGGGTCACAAGGAGCTAGGAAGGGGATCCCAGGTGGGGAAGGTGGGCCAGCTCGGGGGACCAGGGGGGCCCATGTCTAGCTCTGCTCTCGGGGGCTTGCCGAGAGGTCCACCTCCCTCCCAGGCCTGCGATGAACTGTGAACACCCAGAAATGCCATCCCCGCACCCTGAGAGGCCCCCGCCCTCCCAGAGCCCAGGCTCACGGGCGGCCGTGGACCAGGACGGAGCCCTTGGTGAGCTGGATGACCACGCCGTCCACCTTCATGAGGACCCTGCTCAGCGTCGGGGAGCCCGACTCCCGGCCTCGGCGCAGCTGCACGTTGAAGTCCTCGTAGGCGGCGCCGCAGTGCTCGGAGAGCACGTAGTTGCAGAGGCCGGGGAAGCGGAAGACGTCGCCGTCGAAGGTCTTGTAGTGGAAGTCACCCCACGTGCTGCACACACGCCCGTTGTGCGCCGGGTTGGAGGCTGCTGGGGAAGCAGTGTGGGGTCTGAGGGTGTCGCCCTCGCCTTGCGCCTCCCGCCTCTGCCCGGCATCCCCCACCCCTGCCCCGTACTCCACATCCTGGACGGGGCACCTGGGGGCCCCTCCTGCATCTGGGAAGTCCGGAAGCTTGTGCAGGGAGGTGCTGGGCCCTCTCCAGCTCCTCCCCAGTGGCACCCAGAAAGCTGGGGCCCCTCTCCAGCTGCCACCCCCAGGCCTGAGCCAGGAGCTCAGCAAAGCTATACCCCTTCACCCCCGGGCCTGGGGTTCCACTCACCTCTTACCACGGGGACGGTCCTCATAGGCGGGAAGACGGTCACCCCTTGGAGCGGGACCCCTGTGGAAACAGCGGCTGGCAGGGTGCACACGAGGCCCCAAGTCGGGGGGAGCAGAGGCTCCACAGCCCAGAGGAGACATCCCAGAGGCTGCGGGTCCCGGCTCCCGCCCCCGAGGCTGACTCTGGACTCCGTCAGGACCTGGACCCCCATCCCCCACCCCCACACCGTCTGCACACTGTGTGCTGTGGCCGCACGCCTGTGTTCTCCGTGACTTTCTAAGTCCTCCCGCTGCCGCCGTGGAAAAGCCCCCGGCGGTGGCCAGCTCTCACCCCACAGGCCTCAGACCCTCAGTCTGTGTCAGCCGCTCAAGACAATCTCCTGGGCACTGAGATGAGGCTGGGCTGGCCCGACGCGGAGAAATGCAGTCTGAGACCCCCGGTCCGCCCGAAGCTCCTGCTCTGGCCTCCCTCGCCTGCCTCCACCAGCTCCCGCCGGCACCAGCCACTTGGGGCATCCACGCCATGGGAGACCCACGCGTTGCTAAAGCGTCAGGTGGTGAACGGGGGACGCCAAGGCAGGACCCACCTCCAGATCCCGGAGGGGACACCGGCACAGCCAGCCTGCCCTGCCCTGCAGCCCCTTCAGAGCCAGAGCCCTGCAGGGAGCTGGCCCGGGGGGTAGCAGGCAGTGTGGCCCACCAGGGCCATGGACGTGGACATGGGGGTGTCTTCCTCTCCCCCAGGTTTGGTCCTCAGCGGTGGCCAGCCGGGCAGTCACCCTAAGACCAGTGCCTCCTGGGGCCGTGCCACAAGGGGAGGGTGGAATCTGACGGGCTTAGGATGGGGGCCGGATGCTGAGACTCACCGCCGGGCCCCTGGGCAGCGGGAGGGAGGACGGGGTGGTGCTCGTAACTGGATTCCGAGGAGCCATCCTGGGCGTGGCCTGTGGGAAGACGAGGGGGCTGAGCCAGGATGCAGGCGGCTGGGGCAGCTCAGGCTGCAACCATGACGCACCGTGGACACCAGAGGGACAGGAGGCCACAGTGCGGGGGTGGCCGGCGGCGAGGGCTCGCTCTGTGCTGGATCAGGGGTCCTTGGGGGCCTCCGTCCATGTGACTCAGGAGTCCGACCCTCCAGGAGCATCCCCTCAGCCCGGCCCCATGGAGCAGGTGGCGTTAGGGACCCTTGCCTCTATCTGGCATCCCCATCTATTCATTCCCATGCCAGGCCCTGGCTCCTGCCAGTGCAGGGACCCCACTGAGGGCCTGGGGCCGTCAAAGCCACGGGAGGTGTCTGCCTCCAGCAGGACCCAGCACATCGGATCTGTGGGTGGCGGCCCTTAGCGTCTGCAAGCCCCCCGCGGGAGGTGGAGACTGTTGCCTGAGCCTCACTCACCCAGTCTGGCCCCAGGCCTGCCCGCACTTTCTGAGCCCTGCAGGCCCAGCCCCAGGAGAGAATTCAGGCTTCTGGGCTAAGATGGGAGGAGTGCAGATAAGGGACAGTGGGCCAGGTCCCGACGGGGTTCTTCCTGCTCCGGGACTGCCTCGCAGAGGGCCAGAGGCTGGGGACAGGGCTGGGCAGGGGACCTGGCTGGGCCATGCGGCCACCTCTGCGGTGCTGAGATCCCTGCCTGGCTGTTCCAGGAGCCCAGGAGCACCCACTCCCGCCCCAGGCATCTCCCCAAGGGCACATGGTCACCAGCAGACCCATCCTGGGACAAGGTGTCCCCCAGAAGCAGAGGCAGGGAGCTGCTGGCCCAACGAGGGACTGTCCAGACCACAGGGCCTGGAGCCTCCCCCATCCCCCTCTTAGCCTCAGGCTGGGGGTGAAACCCTTCTCCTGTGGCCTTCACCATCACATCCCCACTCAGAGGCTGAGAACCCCCAGGAGACCCCCATCAAGGCCCAGACAGGGAGCGTGAGCTGGTGCACTGGGCATGTGTGGGGTGTCCAAGGGCAGATGCCTGGGGCTGATGCCCCACCTTGCCCAGGTCCTGGGGGCTGTGAACTGCCGGAGCTACTGTGGGTGCTGCTGCCTGTTGGGGAGGGGTGCAGGAATCCAGGCGGGGAGGGGAAGCCAGAGACCTGAGCTCCTGCTTCCCCACCTCAGGAAGTAGCCCAGCCTCAGAGGTCCCTGAAGCCCAGAGGTCTCTTCCCACCCCCACGAGGTGGAAACTACCTATTGGTGGCCGGGACCACAGCAGAGGCCATGCTGCTGGGAGCCGTCCGTGGCACTGGCAGCCTGCTGGAACCCAGGGCAAAGACGGAGCTGCCCGAGGCCCACTCGGCACCGCACCACCCAGGACTATCGGAGTGGCCAGGGCGCAAGCCATACCTGTGTGCCCGGTGCAGGCCAGGGCGAGAGCCAGGGCCCAGAGCAGGCCCAGCTTCCTCCGGCCAACACCCATCGCGTGGACGGCAGGAGGAGTCCCCGTCCCTTGGCAGCCTCTGAGGAGGGACCTGAGGTGGCAGGAGCCTTTTGTAGCCCCAGAGCCGGCTCCAGCCCGTGCTTCTCATGAATGGGCGTGGCGGGGCCTGTGCTTCCCCCTCACCCAAGTAAACAGTGGGTACTCACTGTGGGCTGGCCAGTGGCTGGTGGCAGGCGGAGAGGGGCGTGTCTGCCGGGTAGGGCCCAGTTTCCAAGGCTCCCCCAAGCCCTGGCCTGCAGAGCTACCCCCACATACCCGACCCTGGACTCTCCCTGGGCAGCCTGTGAGTTCCCAGTGCCTGGGAAGCCCAGGCATCCCTGAAGCCGGCCACATGCTCCCCTTGATGTGGCACCAGCCAGCATCACCCTCCCTGGAGAGGGACTCCTGGCAGCAGCCCCTCCCCCACCACGCAGCTCCCACCCAGCATTGCCCAGGAGTCCACCTGCACTTCTGTCTCCTGGCCCCAGGCAGACAGGGCCAGCTCAATTCACATAATGGTCTCTGGCCACCAGGATCCAGGAGTGCTCAGTACCCACCAGACAGGAAGCTGTTGACTGGTCCCAGCACAGAAAGGTCCCAGTGAGTCTTGGGCCTGATGGGGGCTCTGGCTAAGAAGGTGCCCTTGTGTGATGAGCACCCAGACCACGGGTGTGTGGCTGTACACTGGGGCCAGACTCTCCCTCCCAGGAAGCCGTACACTCCCCAGCCAAGGTCAGCAGCTCCACTGCCCACGTGGACGGTCCACCCAGGAGGACCCCTGTGGGAAGAATGGCAGGAAAGGGCTGGGCTCCTGCCCAGCTACAGAGGGGTTAGGATCAAGGAGGTGCCTCGAGGCTGTTCTGGGCACTCGCTTCCAGCGCTCCAGGGACCTGTCCCAAGCTTCTTACGGTCACCTGCTTCTCCATTTCTGAGCCTTTCCCTCCCCAGGTCCTGTCTTAGCTCAGGAGCCTGTAGAGAGAATCCTTCATATGTGGGAGGAGCGCAGGGAAAGGGAAGATGAGTGAGTAAATGAATGAGTGAACGAATGAGTGACTGAGTGAGTGAATGAGTGAATAAATGAGATAAGGAATGCATACCTGGATGAATGAGTGACTCTGTGAGTGAGCTAGACTGAAGTGAATGAGCGAGCGAGCAAATGAATGAGGGATTGAATGAATGAATAGGAAAGTGAATGAGAGAGCGAATGACTGAGTGACTGAGTTAATGAATGAATGTGAATGAGTGAGATAGCCAGTGAATGAGTGAGTGAGCGAGTAGCAAATGAGTGAATAAGTGAATGAGTGGGTGAATGAATGAGTGAATGACTGAGTGAATGAATGAGTGAATGAGTGAGAGTGAGTCAGTGAAGGAGTGAGTGAATGAGTCAGTGAGTGAGTGATTGAATGAAGGAGTATATGGGTGAGTGAATGAGTGTATGAGTAAATTAGTGAGTAAATGGGTGAATGAATGAATGAGTGAATGAATAAGTGAATGAATGAGTCAATGAGCAAGTGAGTATATGAGTGAATGAGTGAGTAAATGAATGAATGAATGAGTGGGTGAGGGAGGGAGGGAATGAGTGAGTGAGTATATGAGTGAATGGGTGAATGAGTGAATGAATGAATGAGTGGGTGAGGGAGGCAGGGAATGAATGAATGAGTGAGTGTATGAGCTAATGGGTGAATGAGTAAATGAATGAATGAATGAGTGGGTGAGTGCTCACACTGGAGGCTGAGAGGCTGATGGGGTTAGGGCGACCTCCGCAGCCACTGGTGCTTCAGGAGGCCTGACCCGACCAGGTGTAGCCAGGGCCCCCCGCCCCGGCCCAGGACGGGACACCAGGTCTCCTGGTACTGATGAAGGCTGAGGAGGGTCCTGGTCGTGGACAGGGCCCTGTGGTGGGTCTGGATCCAGGGCCGTGTGATTATGTCAGCGGGGCATAGGGAAGGCCTCGAGGGTCTGCAGGTGTGATCAGGACCCTGGCCAGGGGCACGTGTGAGTGCCCGCAGGCCTGCCCTCCTCATGCCCTCAGATAGACAGGAGGCAGCGGGTGAGCCAATGCCAAGCCCCCCGCAGAGGACAGGCTGAGTCACCGGCCCAGTCCTTCCTGTGACCTCTGACCTGTCTGAGTCACCGGCCTGGCCCTCAGAGGGGAGTGCCCCCTGGATGTCTGAGGCTGGCCGGGCCCTGGGGCAGCTGGCCAACAGGCCACTCAGGCCTTGCCGTCCCAGCTGTAGCTTTCTCCTCCCCCAACCAGATGGCACCCAGGGTCATTGCTGGGGTCCAGGCTGGGGGTGACATCCCCCTGCCAGCATTAGTGACCCCTGGCTGCGCTGGGCATTCTCTTGGAAACGGGGTTCAGGCACCCAAACCACTGGACATGGGCCACCGGCTGACCACCTGGTCCCCTGAAACCCCCCCCAGGCTGAGGCTGCAGGAGGGCTGAAGCACCTGCAATTCTGGAGCCTAAGCCCCAGGCGCCCACGCTCAGAACTTTCCAGAAAGCCCATCGGGCCTTGTTTCTGAGCCCTGGAGGCGGGTAGGAGGGAATTCCTGTGTGTCCCCAGGGGAAGCAAAGTCCTGGTGTCCCTGGCCACCCCACAGGCCTCAGAGGGGAGCCGAGGTGGTCACTGCAGGCTACTGGGGCTCTCAGAGGGTGCCGGCAGGGCTGGCTGAGCCACAGCACAGCTACCCAGCTCCTGGGAACCCTCCCTCAGGCCTACGGCTCTCCGGATGTGTCCTGGAGTCCCAGCCACCCGACGACTCCACGCAGTCTCCGGCCCCCTCAGCTCGAAGCCCCTCATCCTGCACAGAAACTGCCCCTGCCACCTTCCAGCAGGGGCCCTGGCCGGACCGGCTGGATCCTTCCCTCAGCCTGGGGCCTGAGTCGGCTCTGAGGCCTGCAGCCAGGACAGGCGTAGACCCGGTGACTTGGCCTCAAAATCAGGGTCGCTCTCCCCTGAGAGCTTCGACCCCCGAGGCAGCTCAGCCCTGACGCCCCGGCCACCCTGCCTGCAGCACCGACCATTTTAGTGAGCATGGCTGCACGTGTGGCGTGGGCGGGGCTGCGGCAGGGCCTGGGGGCCACTGGTCTGAAAAGCAGGTGCGTTCCTTAAAGCAGACCCTGCGTCAGCCCCCGAGAAGGGCGATGACCCCACTGGGGAGGGGTCCGCCCTCCTGACTTGAACCTCCACGCTCAGGTGAGAGGCTCCTTCGGGGAAGGTGTGTGCCGGGGATCACAGGAGGAGGGTCTCCAGGGCTTCTGTGGGATGTGCCAGAGGAAGGCCGCACTTAAGGATGGCACGTGGGCTCAGAGGGGATCGAAGCCCCACGAACTTCACTCCGCACGTCGGTGCCGGAGGCCCCACAGCTCCAGTCCTGGGCGGCCACCAGTGCCCTCTCTCCCCGGGGTCTGACACACGAATGCAGACTCGGGAGCACTGGAGGAAGGACCGGGTCACGCCCCGATAGGAGCCCCAGCCAGGCGTTGCCGTGGAGACAACATGACTGGGACTGATGGAGGCCCAGCTGCATCCCAGGGCAGCGCCGTCCCCTGGCCCCCCGGAACCGGGGAGGAATCACGTGGGATAGCCGTTCTTCCTGGGTGACTAACTCAAGTGAGGTGAACCCCGGCCCACACCGCATCCCGTGGGGAAAACTCCCTGTGGATGGCTTCGGCCCCACAGAGCTGAAGGAACAGCCTGGGATGACCCGGGGCCGCTTCCCCTGGAGGAGGAAGTGAAGAGGTTCCCACTCCCAAGGACTCCCCAGAACCCCCCAGAACTCCCTGGGAGCCCCTCGGACACCCCCACAGGTGCGTACATTCCAGGCTCCTCAGCCACCCCGGGCCCAGCGCACACTGTTGGGGGCACCCGGCCCAGTCTGTCCTCCAGCGGCGTCAGGAGAGGTCCCCACCCAGCCTGGGCCCAGCCATGACCCTCTGGCCTGGCAGTAACTGACCAGGTGAGCAGGGGTGGGGACCACTGGTTTCTATGTCGCAGGCAGGGGCTGGGATCGCACCCCGGCCTGTCACTTCCGTCCGGGTTTCCCGGCACAGCCCCAGGGAGGTGACCTGCAGGCCTCTGTGGTCAGCCTGGGGAGGCCACACCCTCCCTGATGCGTGAGGTGGAGGCCAGGGGTCAGTCCTGGGGAGGCCAGGGGAGGGCGGCTCCACACACCTGCCCATATGGGACCCCAGGGCTCTGTGGAGCAGACATTCCACCCCAGCGTTGGACTCCAGCAGCACCCACTGTGGGCCCCCAGCCTGCACAGCGACCAGCACATCACCCTCCTGTGCCTCAGGCCGCCATCTGTAAAATGGCTCATTTAGGGCCCACTGCTCAGAGCCCTGCTGCCTGAGGGGGAACCTGGCCAGGCACCCCCACAGCATCCAGGCAGGGATCTCAGTGCCAGCTCGCCCCACCCTCCTCCTAGACGTGGGGACGCTGGAGGCCTGCAAGGCTCCTGCATCCTCATCCGCAGCACGGGGTGGGACCGCCATGTACTGCCGTGTCCGCCACCTCCACGCATCTGAACGGAGCCTCTCCCATGCCTGGCGGTTCAGAAATGACGGCAGCTTCCCGCCTGCGACCCTCAGTTTCACCAAGGCGGGTGGCCTTGGGGTCCGGGACAGCCCCTGGCCGGGCCTCTGGTGGCCAGCGTTCTGGGGGACGTGGCAGAATTGGGAAGCCTGGTTAGGCTTCGTGTGGGAATTGGAGAGCGATTTCACAGAAAGACAATAGAGCTTCTCAGTGCTGGGACCAGGAAACACGGAAACGCTCTGGCTCTGGAAGGGGCAGCGTCCAGGGCGGGGCTGGGAAGCTGACACAGGAATTATCGGAGGCTGTTGACAGAAAGCACAGGCTTCGGGTGGATTTTCACCAAGCCAGGAACTTACACAATAGGAGGAAGGAGTCTTACGTTTCTTCCCGGCTTCACCAGGGGCCGAGGGAGAGCCGTGGGGCCATCCCCATGGCAGCTTGGGCGGCCGCTGCCTGGAG